GAAGAACAGTAACAACAGCAGCAGCAGCAGGAAGACCAGTAACAGCAGCAGCAGCAGCAGGAAGAACAGTAACAACAGCAGCAGCAGAAAGAACAGTAACAACAGCAGCAACAGAAAGAACAGTAACCACAGCAGCATCAGCAGCAGCAGCGTCAGCAGCAGCATCAGCAGGAAGAACAGTAACAACAGCATCAGCAGGAGCAGCAGCAGCAGGAGCAGCATCATCATCAGCAGCAGCAGCAGGAGCAGCATCATCATCATCATCAGCAGCAGCATCAGCATCAGCAGGAAGAACTAAAAACAGCATCAGCAGGAGGAGCAGCATCAGCAGGAAGAACTAAAAACAGCATCAGCAGGAGGAGCAGCATCAGCAGGAAGAACTAAAAACAGCATCAGCAGGAGCAGCATCATCATCAGCAGCAGCAGGAGGAGCAGCATCATCATCAGCAGCAGCAGCAGGAGCAGCATCATCATCATCAGCAGCAGCATCAGCATCAGCAGGAAGAACAGTAACAACAGCATCAGCAGGAGCAGCAGCATCAGCAGGAAGAACTAAAAACAGCATCAGCAGGAGGAGCAGCATCAGCAGGAAGAACTTAAAACAGCATCAGCAGGAGCAGCAGCATCAGCAGGAACAACAGCAGCAGGAGCAGCATCAGGAAGAACAGTAACAACAGCAGCAGCAGCAGCAGGAGCAGCATCAGCAGCAGCAGCATCAGCAGGAGCAGCAGCATCAGCAGCAGCATCAGCAGCAGCCGCATCAGCAGCAGCATCAACAGCAGCAAGAGCACCAGCATCAGCAGGAGCAGCAGCAGGAGCAGCAGCAGCAGCAGGAGCATCAGCAGGAGCATCATCATCATCAGCAGCAGCAGCAGGAGCAGCAGCAGCAGCAGGAGCAGCAGCAGCAGCAGGAGCAGCAGCAGCAGCAGGAGCACCAGCATCAGCAGGAGCAGCAGCAGCAGGAGTATCAGCAGGAGCATCATCATCATCAGCAGCAGCAGCAGGAGCAGCAGCAGCAGCAGGAGCATCATCATCAGCAGCAGCAGCATCAGCAGCATCAGCAGCAGCATCAGCAGCAGGAGCAGCAGCAGCAGCATCAGCATCAGCAGCATCAGCAGCAGCATCAGCAGCAGGAGCAGCAGCAGCAGCAGCAGCATCAGCAGCAGCAGCATCAGCAGCAGCATCAGCAGCAGTAAGAGCAGCAGCAGGAAGAACAGTAAGAACAGCATCAGCAGGAACAACAACAGCAGCAGCAGCAGCATCAGCAGCAGTAAGAACAGCAGGAGCAGGAAGAACAGTAAGAACAGCAGCAGCAGGAACAACAACAGCAGCAGCAGCAGCAGCAGCAGGGGTGACTCACGAGGAAGGGGGGACTTTCACCAGGTGTGATCATGCACATCTCTGGTGACTCACGTCAACCTGAGGAATGCAGCTAAAATTGTCACAAATTCACAACGTATTCCTCCAGATTATCGTGTTGCAAATTTATTGATTGATAACGTTATTGTGCATCCAGAACTCATTCTACTGTGGGTAGTCATCCTAAACCCATCCTGTGGGTAGTAGCCACACCATGCCAGTCTTGTATGTTACTCGTTATAATATGATATCAGTCTTGTAACCAAACCATACCCATCGTGTGGGTAAGTCACCCCATTTCCAACCTGTGGGTGACAGCCACATCATACCTGCTTAATGGACGGTAGTTATTCCATGCAGGACCATAGGTTAACAGTTGATTCCACGGTGTTGCTTGTCAGGCAAGTATAATTACATTACAGGTGTACAATACCAGCAAGTTGTTGAGTAAGATATCTTGTTATCTGACACAACAACGCCATGGAATATTGGTACATAGGATATCTATGACTCTGACCCTTAGGGTGTAGCGCTTAAATTAATGATGATGATGATGATAATAATAATAATAATAATAATAATAATAATAATAATTCTACAGTTCTATTCCTAACCTATGGCCTATCCTATGGGCATGGCCCCTCAAGGAAGGTTCCTTGATGTTGGTGAGGGGCTCTTGATTTAGGGAATTGGATCTGTGCTCCAGTTCCCCGAATTAAGCCTGAATGCCTTCCACATCCCCCCCCCAGGCGCTGTATAATCCTCCGGGTTTAGCGCTTCCCCTTGATTATAATAATAATATGGGCATGACTTATATCCACTAATGGGTCTCGCCCACCTGTGACCAGCTCTTCGACTTCTGCTTCTCTTTACATTGTTTGCAACTCCACTACTAAATCTCAAGCCCACATAATGGGTCTGACCTACTACCACTAGTGGACCCTGCCAATATGTGATGTCTTTAACTTATGAGCGCTTGAAGTTCCTGAACCTGTACTCCCTGGAACGCAGGCGGGAGAGATACATGATTATATACACCTGGAAAATCCTAGAGGGACTAGTACCGAACTTGCACACGAAAATCACTCACAACGAAAGCAAAAGAGTCGGCAGACGATGAAATATCACCCCCCCCCCCCAATGAAAAGCAGGGGTGTCACTAGCACGTTAAGAGACAATACAGTAAGTGTCAGGGGCCCTAGACTGTTCAACTGCCTCCCAGCATACAATGTGACTTTGTCAATGGTCCAAGTCGGACCGAAACGTCGTCGTAAGCTTCTCTCTTTTATGTGCGGGTTATTTGTGTATACATAAGGGGTATTACCAATAGACCCCTGGCAGTCTTCAAGCTGGCACTGGACAAGCACCTAAAGTCGGTACCTGACCAGCCGGGCTGTGGCTCGTACGTTGGATTGCGTGCAGCCAGCAGTAACAGCCTGGTTGATCAGGGTCTGATCCACCATGCGGCCTGGTCACAGACCGGGCCGCGGGGGTGTTGACCCCCGGAACTCTCTCCAGGTAAACTCCAGATGTATCTCTCCTCAAGCTCCAGTATAAACTCCAGGTATATACAGTATCTCTCCATCCTCGTGACTGTCATATATTAATACAACCAAGTGCGTAGGCGAAACTTACCAATAAAGATGCCTAGGCGTTGAACATGACTGCTGATTCTGGTGGATGGGCCATTGACTTGTGGGTCTTCCTATATGATATATCCTGAGAACACTGGTTGATATTTCAAAGTTAAAAATTACCTCTCTTGGAGAGCATACACTATCTTCAATTTATCATTTCCATCACGCATAGAAAAGTCAGTGTGCAAGGTAATTAACAAAAGATGCACTCGAACTATAAACTCATTATTCTATTTTTAAAGGGGGTGGACTGGTAAGCCAGTGGAAGGCCTCGGCCAGATGACCAAAGCTCCAGCAGCGGGTCATCATATAATTAAGATCAGCTTCAAGAAACACTTGTCCTGTTTCCTGACAGTCTTAATCCAACCTGTAACGGCCTTATTTATAATTTTACCATACCTGTGTCTGGCTTCTGATAATAGTATATTATTTGTTATTATTACACTCAGGGGAAGTGCTAAATCTGTAGGAGTCATAGAGCGCCAGGGAATGGAAGCAATCAGATCCACTCCAAGAAGATGGAGAGTAGGTCCAATTGTTTGGATCAAGAGCCCTTCCCGTTATTAAGGCAAGATGATACTATTGAGGTGTCAAGAGTAGATACATGAGCAATTTCTGGGTAGGAGTCATTGGTGTGTTCCATAACCAGTATAAACAGTGTTACAAAAGTGGAAGTCACTGCAGCAACACGGTGACACAAATCAAGATGGGGTGGTGGGGTTTGAATGTCCCGTGACCTGGTGGCTAAAGCTCTCACTTCACACAGCGAGGTCCGGGTTCGATTCACGGCGAGGGTAGAAACATTGGGCGTGTTTCTTTACACCGGTTGTCTATGTTCCCCATCAGTAAAATGGGTACTTAGGTGTTAGTCAACTGGTGTGGGTCGCATCCTGGGACAAAACTGACCTAATTTGCCGGAAATGTTCAGCATAACAAGTGGATTTCTATATAATAGTATGTCACTGATGTCAGCTATGGTCTGTATACCTTGTACATGTACCTGTAGAAATAAAGATACTATTTAACGATTTGGAGCTACGCCCCTTTTCCTTTGCTATAAACCTGGTTACTTCCTATATCCCCAGGTGCTGCATAACCTCCTCAGGGTTTAAGTTTCCCAATGAATGATAACAGTACGATGGAAAAAAAGAAAAGGTAATTATGTCTGTGCTACTTGCACAATGCCCCCTCAGGAGTGGCTGTCAGGGAGGCTGGATATCTGTGGCCGGTTGCTGTCAGCAAGATATAAGTAAGAGCGCCGCCCGATCTTACTGTATAACTGTTAGAGACCACATATAAAGCTGGAGAAAGCACCGAACTGGGCCCAGTCGGCAAGCACTCAACTAGTCAGGATGTAATGGATCAACGAGGAAGCACTAAGAATACAGTTAATCATTACTGTGACAAGATAAAGGCGTCCATCGTATATTATTGTGTCTTGACAAATGGAATATAAAGGTATATGATACCGATAAGTAGTGGAAAAAACAATAACTTGGTGATAAAAAATACTGTATATTGCAGCGATATGACCAAGTCAGGAGTGAACTAGTGATTATTAACTGTATATTGCAAATAAACGTTACAGCAGTGTGCAGGCCAATTTTAATATATATGAACTATAGACCTATGTACTGTAATCTTTAGTAACAATGATAGATGACAGAGGGTTTGATACACACAATACCTCGGTTCAAATCCCCGTCCATTCTCATATTCATTCATTGGCAGTTGCTCACTGCGACTGTTCATGGGTTTTTGTATGCAATAAGTTTAGTTTATGTTAGAAAAGTCACCTCACTATATCGTTTTCTGTGTTTTGTCATTCCAATACTCTAGATATCATTTAATTTATTACTTTATCGACTACCTCAATAAAAGAGGGCAAAATAAACATAATTAATTTATCAATAAAGTAACAGATGCCATAGGGATTTAATTTTCAAGAGATATAGAGGTAAATAAAGAGTTGGTGAGAAAGAGGGTGAGGGAAGAAGAGTGTTCAGAAGAGCATTAGAGGGAGCCTTGCCAGGAGACCTGAGGGAGAGCCATGGCTCGTCCACTCCACACTCTGTAGCGGCACTAACACAGTGCCAACACTTTATTATCGTCGTGTACACACACTCACACTCGCCATGGACTCCCTGGACACCCTCAAGCAGGAGCTGGAGAGGCTGAACCAGGAGTTGGACCAGACGAGCAGCGAGAAGAACCAGGCTGCCCAGTACGGCTTGGTGCTGCTGGAGGAGAAGGAGAGTCTTCAGACAAAGTGTGAGGAGCTGGAGAGTCTCTACGAGAACACTAAGCATGAACTGGAGAGCACCAGAGAGGTGAGAGATGACAGGGGTGTAGGGAGAAGGGTCACCTGCTGTCTCGGGTCGTCAGCTGTTAGGTAAGGGGGAGGGAGTGAAGGGAAGTCCTCCCCCTCTCCCTTCACCTCTTCCCTTCTCTCTTCACATCCCATTTCCATTCACCTGTCATTCCCCTCCGCCCCCCCTTCTCAATACAGGTTCATTGATGCTCCTGGAAGGTTCTTGATCCAAGGAATTAAACCTCTTCTCCCCAGTTTTACATATAACCAGACCCCTACATAGGCTACTTCACTTCCCCTTCAAAATTTTTTGTTTCTCACTGACATCTACATTATACCTGCCATATTTAAACCAAATTATGGTATTAATTTCTACATACGAGTGGCTAATGTGTTTGTCATATGTTTAATTTGGTGCAGTTGTGGGAGGGTTGGTGGGGAAGGTGTTGGTGGGAGGGTTGGTGGGGAAGGTGTTGGTGGGAGGGTTGGTGGGGAAGGTGTTGGTGGGAGGGTTGGTGGGGAAGGTGTTGGTGGGAGGGTTGGTGGGGAAGGTTTTGGGTGGGAGGGTTGGTGGGGAAGGTGTTGGTGGGGAAGGTGTTGGTGGGAGGGTTGGTGGGGAAGGTGTTGGTGGGAGGGTTAGTGGGGAAGGTGTTGGTGGGGGGGTTTTGGTGGGGAAGGTGTTGGTGGGAAGGTTGGTGGGGAAGGTGTTGGTGTGAGGGTTGGTGGGGAAGGTGTTGGTGGGAAGGTGTTGGTGGGGGGGTTGGTGGGGAAGGTGTTGGTGGGAGGGTTGGTGGGGGAAGGTGTTGGTGGGGAAGGTGTTGGTGAGGAGGGTTGGTGGGGAAGGTGTTTGGTGGGGAAGGTGTTGGTGGGAGGGTTGGTGGGAAGGTGTTGGTTGGGAAGGTGTTGGTGGGAGGGTTGGTGGGGAAGGCGTGGTGGGGAAGGTGTTGGTGGGGAAGGTGTTGGTGGGAGGGTTGGTGGGGAAGGTGTTGGTGTGAGGGTTGGTGGGGAAGGTGTTGGTGGGAGGGTTGGTGGGAAGGTGTTGGTGGGAGGGTTGGTGGGGAAGGTGTTGGTGGGGAAGGCATTGGTGGGAGGGTTGGTGGGAAGGCGTTTGGTGGGGAAGGTGTTGGTGGGAGGGTTTGGTGGGGAAGGTGTTGGTGGGAGGGTTGGTGGGGAAGGTGTTGGTGGGAGGGTTGGTGGGAAGGTGTGGTGGGAAGGCATTGGTGGGAGGGGTTGGTGGGGAAGGCGTTGGTGGGAGGGTTGGTGGGGAAGGCGTTGATGGGAGGGTTGGTGGGGAAGGTGTTGGTGGGAGGGTTGGTGGGGAGGTGTTGGTGGGAGGGTTAGTGGGGAAGGTGTTGGTGGGAGGGTTGGTGGGGAAGTGTTGGTGGGAGGGTTGGTGGGGAAGGTGTTGGTGGGGAAGGCATTGGTGGGAGTGTTGGTGGGGAAGGCATTGGTGGGAGTGTTGGGAAGGCGTTGGTGGGGAAGTTGTTGGTGTGAGGGTTGGTGGGAAGGTGTTGGTGTGAGGGTTGGTGGGGAAGGTGTTGGTGTGAGGGTTGGTGGGGAAGGTGTTGGTGGGGAAGGTGTTGGGGGAGGGTTGGTGGGGAAGGTGTTGGTGGGGAAGGTGTTGGTGGGAAGGCGTTGGTGGGAGGGTTGGTGGGGAAGGCGTTGGTGGGAGGGTTGGTGGGGAAGGTGTTGTGTGAGGGTTGGTGGGGAAGGTGTTGGTGGGGAAGGCATTGGTGGGAGGGTTGTGGGGAAGGTGTTGGTGGGAGGGTTGGTGGGGAAGGTGTTGGTGTGAGGTTGGGGGGGAAGGTGTTGGTGGGAAGGTTGGTGGGGAAGGTGTTGGTGGGGAAGGCTTGGTGGGAGGGTTGGTGGGAAGGCGTTGGTGGGAAGGTGTTGGTGGGGAAGGTGTTGGTGGGGAAGGTGTTGGTGGGGAAGGTGTTGGTGGGAGGATTGGTGGGGAAGGTGTTGGTGGGAGGGTTGGTGGGAAGGCGTTGGTGGGAGGGTTGGTGGGGAAGGTGTTGGTGTGAGGGTTGGTGGGGAAGGCGTTGGTGGGGAAGGTGTTGGTGGGGAAGGTGTTGGTGGAGGTTGGGGAAGGTGTTGGTGGAAGGTTGGTGGGGAAGGTGTTGGTGGGGAAGGCGTTGTGGGAGGGTTGGTGGGGAAGGCGTTGGTGGGGAAGGCGTTGGTGGGGAAGGTGTTGGTGGGGAAGGTGTTGGTGGGAGGGTTGGGGAAGGTGTTGGTGGGGAAGGTGTTGGTGGGAGGGTTGGTGGGAAGGTGTTGGTGGGAGGGTTGGTGGGGAAGGCGTTGGTGGGAGGGTTGTGGGGAAGGTGTTGGTGTGAGGGTTGGTGGGGAAGGTGTTGGTGGAGGGTTGGTGGGGAAGGTGTTGGTGGGGAGGTGTTGGTGGGGAAGGCGTTGGTGGGAGGGTTGGTGGGAAAGGTGTTGGTGGAGGGTTGGTGGGGAAGGTGTTGGTGGGAGGGTTGGTGGGGAAGGTGTTGGTGGGAGAGGTTGGTGGGGAAGGTGTTGGTGGGAGAGTTGGTGGGAAGGTGTTGGTGGGAGGGTTGGTGGGGAAGGTGTTGGTGGGAGGCGTTGGTGGGAGGGTTGGTGGGGAAGGCGTTGGTGGGAGGGTTGGTGGGGAAGGCGTTGGTGGGAGGTTGGTGGGGAAGGTGTTGGTGGGAGGGTTGGTGGGAAGGTGTTGGTGGGAGGGTTGGTGGGGAAGGTGTGGTGGGAGGGTTGGTGGGGAAGGTGTTGGTGGGAGGGTTGGTGGGGAAGGTGTTGGTGGGAGGGTTGGTGGGGAAGGTGTTGGTGGAGGGTTGGTGGGGAAGGTGTTGGTGGGGAGGATTGGTGGGAGGGTTGGTGGGAAGGTGTTGGTGGGAGGGTTGGTGGGAAGGTGTTGGTGGGAGGGTGTTAGAGGTAGACGTAAGAGGAGAGTGTTAGCAGGTAGAAAGGAAAGTGTTAGCAAGTAGGGTTAGAATGGAGGGTGTGGGAGGTTGGGGTAGAAGGGAGGATGTTAGCAGGTTGAGGGTGGGAGGGTGCTAGCAGTTGGGGTGGGAGGGAGGGTGTTAACAGATTGGGGGGTTGGGAGAGAGGGTATTAGTAAGTTGGGGTGGGAGGGAGGGTGTTAGTAAGTTGGGGGTGGGAGGGAGGGTGTTAGTAAGTTGGGGGTGGGAGGGAGAGTGTTAGCAGGTTGGGGGTGGGAGGAGGGTGTTAGCAGGTTGAGGTGGGAGGGAGGTTGTTAGCAGGTTGGGGTGGGAGGGAGGGTGTTAGCAGGTTGGGGTGGGAGGGAGGGTGTTAGCAGGTTGGGGGTGGGAGGGAGGGTGTTTGCAGGTTGGGGGTGGGAGGAAGGTTGTTAGCAGGTTGGGGGTGGGAGGGAGGGTGTTAGCAGGTTGGGGGTGGGAGGGAGGGTGTTAGCAGGTTGGGGTGGGAGGGAGGGTGTTAGCAGGTTGGGGTGGGAGGAGGGTGTTAGCAGGTTGGGGGTGGGAGAGAGGGTGTTAGCAGGTTGGGGGTGGGAGGGAGGGTGTTAGCAGGTTGGGGTGGGAGGGAGGGTGTTAGCAGGTTGGGGGTGGGAGGGAGGGTGTTAGCAGGTTGGGGTGGGAGGGAGGGTATTAGTTGGTTGGGGGTGGGAGGGAGGGTGTTAGCAGGTTGGGGGTGGAAAGGAGGGAAGGTTTTGGTGGAAGGGGAGGGTGTTGGTGGGTTGGGGTGGAAGGGAGGGTGTTGGTGGGTTGGGGTGGAAGGGAGGGTGTTGGTGGGTTGGGGTGGAAGGGAGGGTGTTGGTGGGTTGGGGTGGAAGGGAGGGTGTTGGTGGTTGGGGTGGAAGGGAGGGTGTTGGTGGGTTGGGGTGGAAGGGAGGGTGTTGGTGGGTTGGGGTGGAAGGGAGGGTGTTGGTGGGTTGGGGTGGAAGGGAGGGTGTTGGTGGGTTGGGGTGGAAGGGAGGGTGTTGGTGGGTTGGGGTGGAAGGGAGGGTGTTGGTGGGTTGGGGTGGAAGGGAGGGTGTTGGTGGGTTGGGGTGGAAGGGAGGGTGTTGGTGGGTTGGGGTGGAAGGGAGGGTGTTGGTGGGTTGGGGTGGAAGGGAGGGTGTTGGTGGGTTGGGGTGGAAGGAGGGTGTTGGTGGGTTGGGGTGGAAGGGAGGGTGTTGGTGGGTTGGGGTGGAAGGGAGGGTGTTGGTGGGTTGGGGTGGAAGGGAGGGTGTTGGTGGGTAGGTCTGGAGGACTCGTCCACATCCTCAAATGTTTACCTCGTTGCTCTAGTTCCAGCTTGTACAAATAATTGCTTTCCTTTTATTTCCTTCTTTTTTAATTTTTATTCTCCTTTATTTTTTCTCGTCATGTTGCTGTGTTTAACTATCATGATAATGATTGAAGATAATTTGAGTATCCCTGGGTATTTACACTTGGCTTGGATATACGGTGGTAATTAATGGATGGTTGACTGGATCAGAAACACTACTTTGGCTTCACTCTGTATTAGTGGCATACACGTTTGATGGGTTTCAAGATTTTTTTCTTCTCCTGGAGTGAGAGAGATGGGAGGAAGTGCAAGATAAACCCAGTGAGGTGCAGGGTGTGGTGGGCACAATAAGGGAACACTATCAACATCCATGGCCCTAGACTATTTAACATCCTACCAGAAGATATTAAAAACATGGCTGGAACAAGTGTAGAAGTCTTCAAAAGAAAACTGGATAAGTATGTATCTTCACCAGGTGTCAGATCAACCAAGCTGTGATAGATATGTGGGGCAGCAGGCCTTCAGCAGCAACAGCCTGGTTGACCAGGCAAGCTTGGCCCCTGGCCAAGGTATATTGGAGGTATCCCACTGCCCGGCCCTGGGCCAGGCTTGTCTGGCTTGTAATTTATCTTGCTGGACATGTTTACAGCCCATCTTTAATGTTCTGAATTACATTGGTTTTGCAAAACACTTTAATAATAGTTTTGCAGTATTAAGAAAAATTGAATTAAAATATTTGCTATGAGAAATGGCATTTATTGGGTTGTTGACCAACACAAAAATGTTAGAACCGGAGTTCGAGTGCCATGTAGCTGAAATGAAGAGATAAAAGAAAGGGCTCCAGATTTGTTGGATTGTCTTAAAACTAGGCTTACCTAGTGACCTGATGGTCAGGTTGTTGATACTTGGAGGGCTATATAGCCCCCACAATGTGGTTGGCTTTGACTACTTTTTTGGTCGGTTTATTATACACTTCTCCCACATCCCTAGTTTACCTTGTATATATTGGCTTGCACACCTCTTGGTCTTTATTTGTCACTGATACACTTTCTATCGTACCAGCAAGATGAGCGAGTACACATTGTGCTGGTATTTATTCGGGAACCTATTAGTTTTTTTTTTTTTTTCAGGCACTTGCCAAGTTCCAGACAACTCACAGAGTAGCCACAGCTAGTGGTATTGAGACAGAAGAAAGCCTTCTCTCTGAATCTGCAGCTCGAGAAACTTCTCTCAATTCACAAATTATTGAACTTGAACTTGAAGCTAAACAGGTATGTTCTATTATACTGTGTCAGTGAATGATCACTTATTTTAAAATTTTGACTTACTGAAAATTCTTAGTTGTATTAAAGCAATTTGGTTATGGCTAATATATACACAATAAATACATAATTTCATTCTAATCAGATTGATATTTTTCTTGAATAGTCTCTTGCCACCTATGTACATTTCAGATTGAAACTAATACTGTACCATTCATACAGCCCAATGCCCAATACTTTGTTTCTTCATATTCACCATATGATTGAAAATATCGTAACTGATGGAAAAATCACTGAATACAATAATTATGAATGTTCTCAATTTCCTTGTATTTCTGAATGATTGTTCATATTTAGTGTAAATAACTTTTTAATACTTTTTGAAGGCATAAATGACCTGTTAAATGCTCAAAGAATAAATGTAAATTGCCTCATAAATATCTTTGCACCTGGAAAAATGTTCAGAATATTTTGTTGGCAAGAAGTTTTTGCTCATCAGTTTTCACCATGTAGGGTGACCCATGGAAGGAAATACATTCATCATCATTTATTCAGTAGTTGACTTGTTAAAAGAGCACAGTCATCATAGTTCAGGTGACCTAAGAAACTGCAGTAGATTTTGGCTGTGCCTTCTGTGACACAAGTTTCAGAGATAATATACATGTACTAGGGAAATGGTTTCAGTGAAACTGCTAGGCATGTCTAAGCTGTTTGTACTATGAGAGTTACATGAGAAATAACCCACTCATTTTCTTGACATTTGTAATATATTGTGTTAGTTACCTGTAGTGCATTTCATTTCTGAGTGTTAGTTTTTCTGATTACGTTTCTTTTTTCTGCTTTGTGTGTGTCAAGAAACTCGCATGTACATACCAATCTTCAATACAGTACATGTGGAAGGATATTCATTATATTCCTTAATAGTAATCTAAAAGGAAAGGTAATGTATATCCTTGGGGCAAAATGAATTGCATGTTATTTCCCTCGATCCCCATGTGTGTGCAGATGTTTGACAAATGAAACACCATCAACACTTAATAATACACCTTTTCCATAACTTATTTTAATAAAGCTTGTAATATTGTTATGATAACTGTATAATTAAAAAATGAAAGGTTTGCTAGAATGTTACTAAACTGGCAGTTCAAGTCTGTGACCCAAGTTGGAGTGTATTGCAAGGATTGTTTAAGAATTTAGTGGTTTGTCATGTTGAGTGAATACATAATTTGAGACAGTTGAGTTGTACTCTTGATAAACGGATTGTGTGGTGTTAGATGGGTGACATGAACAGAGTTGAAAGCACTGTGTTGGAATGTATGAGTGAATTATGGGTGGGTTGATTTTGTTTTGAAAATTTATGAAATGCAGGAGTGTTGAATGTACAGTATTAACCACTTGTGCTCTGTAAATTTTTTTTTAGTGCCGAGCAGAACTAGAGCGTGTTCAGAGTGAGAAGTCTCGCTGTTATGTAGAGCTTGCAGACCTGCTGAAAGATAAAGAAATTACCGACCATGAAAAGAAGCAATTAAAAGCAGAATTGAAAGACTTAAAGTTCCGCGAGACACGACTTTTCCAAGACTATGCTGAACTGGAGGATGAGAATATCACGTTACAAAAGCAGATATCCAATCTCAAGTAAGAAATTTTGCAGTGTTCAGTCTCATAACAGCTAACAACAATTAGAGATTTAATGGGTTAAGTATTTGCTGTTTCTTCAGTAGATATTCCTATTATTACATGATACTAACCTCTTTATTCATCTGATACTCCTTCACTTTAACATTTCCTTTATTTTTTGTTGTATTCACTTTTAAGCACTTTTTTCAACAGTTTTTTTTTTCATTTAGCAGCAAAGTTGCTGTGAGATGGTTATTGCATGTACAGGTTTTTTTTGGCTTGGTTTACACTGCTAAATTGATATGGGCAGTGTGTAAAAGTTTAAACACTTACAATTTTAAACATTAAAAATTTCAAGAGGTTGCAAAACAAAATACTTTTGTTGCAATTGAAGGTGTCATTCTGTAAATATGAATATATATTTTATTCCCTACCCATCAAAAGATACATTTGTGGCACTAGCATGGCAGGTTAGCAAAGTGGGCGTGGTTGTTTTGTTTGCCACTTTGATCGTGTGGGGTTTCCCTCGTGTGCTATTATCTGATTAAATGACGTGGGGGAAGGCCAGCATGGTGCCATTGGTGTTAATGGCTCTAGTCAGGTTTTATGCTAATGAAATAACTTAGTTTGTTATTTTGCCTAATCTTTCACTTTTGGTTGCATATTTTATATAGACTTTATTATGTGAAATTTTAACTTCTGTAATGCCATATATTTTCTTCTTTCTCATTTCTAGCTATATAGTTCTATATATTATTTTCCTTCTGTGTTTCTTTTATCTTTTGTCACAGTCAAAGAAAGGTAATCTCTCTAGATGAAATAATTTTGGTTGCACTGGAAGACTAGTGTAAAGCTGACATAATATATACAGACTTCTTGAAATTCTTCAAAAAAATATGTTAAATAATAAAAAAGGAAAGTTGTAGGATAAATAAAAGTTTTAAATAAACGTTTTTTCAATACATGTGTATAAGTCAAGTATAATACTTGAAGCCTTTGTCCCTGAGGTTTCTCTGAGATTGAGACTGAACTTCTTGCCTTGTGCTAATAGCTAGTCTTGTAAATTGGTCTTTTGTAGTACTACTTAATGAAAATCCTTTGGCAGGTCATCTCAAGTTGAATTTGAGGGAGCTAAGCATGAAATTCGCCGCTTGCAAGAAGAGACAGAGGTGCTTAACCAGCAGGTGGAGGAACTGGCAAACCTTAAGAAGATTGCTGAACGACAGATGGAAGAAGCACTGGAATCCCTTCAAGCTGAGAGAGAGGCCAAATATGCACTTAAGAAAGAGCTTGATGGGCGAATGAATTCAGAGTCTATGTATAACTTGTCAAATCTTGCTATGAGCATGAAACTCTCAGGTGAGATGAAAGTACAACAGTGCATTTTGTTAATTTCATTGATTGTAAACTTTCATTGATTGGTGAAGCATGGATGGCCTGCCTCTTACACCAATCTTAAAAGTGTCATTAAAACATCGGATAATTCATAAATGTATTTCTTAAATACATTTTGAGTACGTTGGAAGTGGGTATGCATAAGTTATGGTAGTTACCTCTTGAGGTACTTTGTGATATAGGTTTTTGTTTTCTGAGTTTTTTTTTTAGCCAGGTGCAACTTTTGTGATTAATAGGTTTCGATAGCCAAGATAAAAAGTTAATTTTCTTTGGTGAATGTAATTTGTATATTAATTGAGTAATGTTTGAGCTTGAGATTTCAGTGCTTTCGAGGTCATTTTTTTTAGTATATATTCTTTTTTCAGTAGTAGCTTTTTTTTTTTTTTTTTTTTTATCTTTTCATTGTTTCTTGGGAGATTAGGCCTAGTCTCTATTGTCATGGTAATTTTTCTTAGCAATGGATCTTGAGTAATTTTTATAAAGTTAAAAAAATTTATTTATGAAGGCATTCACATCTGCTAATGTTTTGAGTGCTGGCTTGTTCTTTTTTTTTTAATTAATGTCTATTGTTGCTGGAATACTTGTTTATTTGATTGCTACATTATGGAGATTGAATGTGATTATTGTTTTGTCTTTCTCATTTTTCATAAAAAAATTCTTGCATATTGTAGAATTTTTTTGTATACTGTATTTTGGTTATATCTTTCTGCTGTTACATTTCACTTCATTTCATTTACATGTACCTGAATGTATGAAAATAAAAATACGCGTATATTGTACTGTAAATGTAAATTATTTTCTGTTTAGGTAGTACAGACTTCGGTGAAAGTGACGGTGAGGATGAGACGCCAGTTCTACGGAGACTGGAGTCAGAGTTAATGAGCGCAGGAGGAGGTACGGAATTGGGAGGTGACCTCTTCTCAGAGATCCATCTGAATGAATTGCGTAAGCTGGAGAAGAAATTGGAAGAGGTTTGTATGCTCTTCAAATTCCATTATTAGCAGCAGAACTATAAAATATTGAAAAACTATGGTTATTGTAATTGATGAAGTTTCTGTTCTGTGACAACATGCCTGAAAAAAGTGTATAATTTGTGACCTATATTTAATAAATTTGGGGTGCCAGGGGTAAATGTAAATGGGGAGCCTTTAATTGAGCTGTGTGTGGAAAGAGATTTGGTAATAAGTAATACATATTTTATGAAAAAAAAGGATAAATAAATATACAAGTTAGGATGTAGCACGTAATGAAAGTAGTTAGATCATGTATTGGTGGATAAAAGGTTGATGAGTAGGCTCCAGGATGTGTATGTTTATAGAGGGGCAACTGATGTATCGGATCGTTGTTTAGTTGTAGCTACAGTTAGAGTAAGAGGTAGATGGGACAGGAGGAAGATGGCAACAAGTAAGAGGGAGGTGAAAGTGTATAAACTAAGGGAGGAGGAAGTTCGGGTGATATATAAGCAACTATTGGCAGAAAGGTGAGCTAGTGCAAAGATGAGTAGTGGGGGGGTTGAAGAGGGTTGGAATAATTTTAAAAATGCAGTATTAGAATGTGGGGCAGAAGTTTGTGGTTATAGGAGGGTGGGTGCAGGAGGAAAGAGGAGTGATTGGTGGAATGATGAAGTAAAGGGTGTGATAAAAGAGAAAGAGGTAGCTTGTGAGAGGTTTTTACAAAGCAGAAGTGTTATAAGAAGAGCAGAGTATATGGAGAGTAAAAGAAAGGTGAAGAGAGTGGTGAGAGAGTGCAAAAGGAGAGCAGATGATAGTGGGAGAGGCACTTGTCAAGAAATTTTATTGGAAATAAGAAAAAAATTTGGAGTGAGTTAAACAAGTTAAGAAAGCCTAGGGAACATATGGATTTGTCAGTTAAAAACAGAGTAGGGGCATTAGTAGATGGGGAGATTTAGGTATTAGGTAGATGGCGAGAATATTTTGAGGAACTTTTAAATGTTGAGGAAGAAAGGGAGGCGGTAATTTCATGCACTGGCCAGGGAGGTATACCATCTTTTAGGAGTGAAGAAGAGCAGGATGCGAGTGTGGGGGAGGTGTGTGAGGCATTACGTAGAATGAAGGGGTAAAGCAGCTGGAACTGACGGGATCATGACAAAAATGTTAAAAGCAGGGGGGCATATAGTATTGGAGTGGTTGGTACTTTTGTTTAATAAATGTATGAAAGAGGGGAAGGTACGTAGGGACTGGCGGAGAGCATGTATAGTCCCTTTATATAAAGGGAAGGGGGACAAAAGAGATTGTAAAAATTATAGAGGAATTAGTTTACTGAATATACCAGGAAAAGTGTACGGTAGGGTTATTATTGAAAGAATTAGAGGTAAGACAGAATATAGGATTGCAGATGAGCAAGGAGGTTTTAGAGTGGGTAGGGGATGTGTAGATCAGGTGTTTACATTGAAGGATATATGTGAACAGTATTTAGGTAAAGGTAGGGAAGTTTTTTATTGCATTTATGGATTTAGAAAAGGCATATGATAGAGTGGATAGGGGAGTAATGTGGCAGATGTTGCAAGTATATGGAATAGGTGGTAAGTTACTAAATGCTGTAAAGAGTTTTTATGAGGATAGTGAGGCTCAGGTTAGGGTGTGTAGAAGGAGACTACTTCCCAGTAAAAGTAGGTCTTAGACAGGGATGTGTAATGTCACCATGGTGTTTTATATGTATATATATATATAATATAGATGGGTGAAAAGAGTAAGTAATGCAGGGTGTTAGGAGAGGGTGGATTAAGTTATATGGAGGACTCGGATACAAATGGGAATTGAACAGTTACTTTTTGTTGATGATATATGCTTATGGTGAGATTTATAAAAATTGCAAGGTTATGGATGAGTTGGAGTGTGTGATGAAGGTAAAATAAAGTGACATAGAAGAGTAAGGTAATGAGATATAATGATTAGGAGAAAAAAATGGATATCATATGGAGAGAGAATTGGAAGGTGAATGTTTCAGATATTGGAGTTGAGTGTCAACGATGGATTTATAAGATGAGGTTAATCATAGAATTGATGAAGGAAAAAGGTGAGCGCGGTGCGTTAAGGTAATTGGAGACAAAGAACGTTTTCTATGGAGCAAAGAAGGGAATGTTGAAGTATAGTGTACAACATGTTATATGGTGAAACTTGGGTGGTAAATGCAGCAGCAAGGAGACGGTTGGAGGCAGTGGAGATTTTCTGTCTAAGGGCAATGTGTGGTGTAAATATTATGCAGAAAATTCGGAGTGTGGAAATTAGGAGGTGTGGAGTTAATAAAAGTATTGGTCAGAGGGCAGAAGAGGGGTTGTTGAGGTGGTTTGGTCATTTAGAGAGAATGGATCAAAGTAGAATGACATGGAAAGCGTATAAATCTGTAGGGGTAGGAAGGCGGGGTAGGGGTCGTCCTCGAAAGGGTTGGAGAGAGAGGGGTAAAGGAGGTTTTGTGGGTGAGGGGCTTGGACTTCCAGCAAGCGTGTGTGAGCATGTTAGATAGGAGTGAATGGAGACAAATGGTACTTGGGACCTGACGAGCTGTTAGAGTGTGAGCAGGGTAATATTTAGTGAAGGGATTTAGGGAATCCGGTTATTTTTATATAGCCAGACTTGAGTACTGGAACTGGGATGTACAATGCCTGCGCTTTAAAGGAGGGGTTTGGGATATTGGCAGTTTGGAGGGATATGTTGTGTATCTTTATATGTGTATGCTTCTAAACTGTTGTATTCTGAGCACCTCTGCAAAAACAGTGATAATGTGTGAGTGTGGTGAAAGTTGGTAGGTAAGACACATAGGCACAAGCCTGTCGGTATTGTATACCATTTTGATGTGGCGAAAGTGTTGAATGATGATGAAAGTATTTTCTTTTTGGGGATTTTTTCTTTTTGGGTCACCCTGCATTAGTGGGAGATGGCTGACTTGTTAAAAAAAAAAAAATTTAATATTTTATAACCAGGCAGAGCATGAGAAAAATCAGTTGACCACCAACCTGAAGGAGAGTCAGGAAGGGCTGGAGAAGACTCGTGGAGAACTGGATGCACAGCATGCCCGTGTCTCTCACCTGCTGGGTCACATTTCTGCACTTGTTAAACTGCATGATCAGGAGAACCCTAGTCAAGTAAGATATTACTTGTGAAATTAGAATATTACGTATATTCATAAATGAAAAATGGAAACTGTTTCCCCATATTACTGAGTTATTACCAAAGCTTGTTTATTTTGTTAGTGTGACTACAGTTTAGCATTAGACATTAATCAACTTTTGAACTGTCTTGTAATATTAATACAGCTTTATATGCTTTTTTTGTTATATATTTGGATTTGCCTTTAAAGTTATTTGATGCATTAGTTCACCTAAAATTTTAGTTTACCTGCTATGGTTATCAATCACTAATGTCCTCTGATCTTTTACTTGCCATCAAGGCAACGAGTGGTTTTTGTTTTAACATGTAAATTTCCAGCTTTCCCAGAATCTGTCATAATCAAAAAAAAGGTGTTTCATGTATGTGCAGGAGAATAGGTCTAGATAGTTGAACTATCAACAAGAGGTGAAATGCATCTTACTTTTAATGAAGAGAATTCAAAATGAAGGAAGGAGGATTGCATTAGCAGATGTTTTCATTGTTGGTTAGTGGATTATATTGTTTTGGGTTATGGGTAGGTTAACATGTAGGAAATTTTGATGGAAGTCAGTTTTATCCTGAAATGGAGGCATGGACTATACAGACAAGCCTTTTTATTAGGTGTAACATTATGCTGTACTTGTTTCAGATGAACGCTGAAGACACTGCAAATTTAGTAAGCTTTTTAGAAAAGCAAAAAACAAGATATCAAGTTGCTTCAAAAGAAATATCTGAACTAAAGAAGAGTCTAATAGACATACAGAATTCAGAGAGTGGGTCGGCAAGCGATGCAGTCCAGCAGCTGCGCAATGAAGTGGCAACAATTCGCTCAAGGGTCAGTGTGGAATTTAAAGCCCTTTTTTTTTTTCTTCATAAAGTTTCATGCTTGCTTTGGCTTCATTTATTCAGTAAAATGTGAGGTTGCCAACATATTTATACATAATTGAACTGGAAATTTAAATATATTTTCATACTTGCTTTTAACAGCTGGTCGATGCAGAGCAGAAATCAATTGACTTGGCAAATGATGTGAATGTCCTGAGTCAGATGATGAACAGCAGAGAGGGATCCATGTCCATAACCAAAAATGATCTGGGGTTTGTTCAGCGTTTGTTTGTTAATGAATCCTTTAATCTTGAATTCTTTTTTGATATTTTTATTCCAGAATCAAAATTGCCAGTAACTTAATTTGTCTCCTATATTGTTTTTGGTTTTCAACATTTTTATCTCCAAATAGTAGATGGCTTAGAACAATATTTTAGCTGATATTCTATGAAGCATCTAGATAAAATTTTGTCATTTTTATTTTATTAGTTTCTATTTATTGTATATATCAGGTTTTGTATTCTAAGCAAGGTCATATTTGGAAAGAGACTGACTTTAATATACCAGTTTAAGTATAACATTCAGAATTTGTCAGTTTTTAAACACTTGCCATCTCCCACTTTGGTAGTGCAACCCAATAAGGAAGATAATACTTCGCTTGCTTGTTCAGTCAGTGTCTTGCCAGAAGGGCACCAACATCATCAGATGACCCTCCAAACTGCAGCTTCCAAATCCCCCCTCCTGAGTGCAGACACTACTTCTCACCTCGAGAATTCTGGCTAACTGGTTTCCTGGAATCTTTTCATGAATATTACTTTGCTCATGCTCCAACATGATGTCAATTCATAAAAACCATTTACTTTCACTCACTCCTGTCTAACAAGCTAATACAGGCCTGTTAGATGACCAGGCCTCTGACACTTAAAACTTCCTTTACCACCTCCCCCCAACATTTCCTAGGATGACCCCTACCCCTCCACTTCAGATTTATATGGCCCAGTTGTCCTATTTGTCTTCATCCTCTCTTAAATGTCCAAATCATCATCTCAGCCCTCTGAATAATACTTTTGGTAACTCCTCACCACCTAATTGCCGAACTTCAAATTTGATAAATGATTTAAAAAAACGACAAGTTGAAGATTGAGACACTTATGCAATGTATGGAAATCTTTATTGAGGAAACGTTCCGCCACGCAGTGGCTTCATCAGTCCAATACAAATCAGAAGGGTGTAAGGAGAGGAGGAGTTTGAGGCAATCAGTCACTCAGCCTGGAGTCGATGTGTTCAGTCCATCAATCTTGTAGAAAGTACAGCATAGGGCCGTAGACGTGGCTTATATACTGTAGTCAAGTGAGGCGAAGCAAGAAGAGGCAGGGTCATAGTGGTACCATCCACTAGTCGAAGTAGGTCTTCGTCCAAAGGCTGGACAAGGTTGAAGAATTCTTTGTATCAAGATCCCATGATGTTGCAGTGTCTGACAGATGTGATAAATGGTTTAAAAAAACCCGACAAGTTGCATAAGTGTCTCAATCTTCAACTTGTCGGTTGTTTAAACCATTTATCACATCTGTCAGACACTGCAACATCATGGCTTTTTTTTTTTTTTTTTTTTTTTTTTTTTTTTTTAATTTTTTTTTTAACAAGTCGGCTGTATCCCACCGAAGCAAGGTGACCCAAAAAGAAAGAAAATCCCCAAAAAGAAAATATTTTCATGATCATTCAACACTTTCACCTCACACACATAATCACTGTTTTTGCAGAGGTGCTCAGAATACAACAGTTTAGAAGCATATGCATATAAAGATACACAATATATCCCTCCAAACTGCCAATATCCCAAACCCATCCTTTAAAGTGCAGGCATTGTACTTCCCATTTCCAGGACTAGAGTCCAGTTATATAAAAATAACTGGTTTCCCTGAATCCCTTCACTAAATATTACCCTGCTCGCACTCCAACAGCTCGTCAGGCCCCAAATACCATTTGTCTCCATTCACTTCTATCTAACGCTCATGCACGCTTGCTGGAAATCCAGGCCTCTCACATTGACAAGTTGTATATCTCTCTCTAGGACAATCAGTGAGGAGCTTGCACAGTTGTATCACCATGTGTGCACAGTTAATGGTGAGACACCCTCAAGAGTAATGCTGGATCACAGTAAACAGGGACATACAGCAGATAAAGGCAAGTCAAACATTACACTGAACTAACATGTCACATGCACAATATTGTACTGTCATTGCTGTATATGGATTGCATGCTTTAAAGCTAGAAAATTTTCATACTACCCCTCTTTAATTTCTGCTTGTGAATTGTTTTCCTGTTTATTTTGTGTTATAGTTAGTGATTATTTCAGACAGTTAATGTTAAACTGTATTCTCTTATTTCAGGAGATGAGGAAGATCATAAACCTTCGTCTCCTACTTTAGCTGCAACAAATCTGGAGGCTCTCCGATGTAAACTTCGTACTGACGTAACCCTCTCAGATTTTGTAAGTTCCTATTTATAGAGATTTGGAAAGTCTTTTAAGGTTTTTATTACACATGAATAGGACCTATTTAGTATATAGCAAATTATTATGCATTTACTGTACACTGATATAGAAGAATTAAGTGTGGAAAAAGATGATACCCATATTAATCCTAGAGAGGTACACTTCTAGAAATAGTATTCATCCATTATACTCAAGTATTTTAAATCTGGCAAGGAAAAAATATTAAAATATATTAGTTCTAGTCAGAATTTATTGTTGATGTTGAGGAGCGCATAAAGTAACAATCATTGAAGTAAATGTGAGGCTTTCCCATATCCTTGAATATCTGATTTTTTCCTTGCATTTTCAAGTTCAATCTCATTAGACTAAGAGCTCAGAATGCATCTGGCCTCGATTGAGCTGAGCTTTTGGTGTTCCACTATATGTACTTCTAAGAACATGAGAAAGAAGGAACACTGCAGCAGGCCTATTGACCCATGCAGAGCAGGTCCCATGGCCTCTCCCCCCCCCCCCCCCCCCCCCCCCCCGTTTTAGTCCAATGCCCCACCCAGACTGGTCACCTCCACTCAAGGATGGAGCATGGCACCAGACCCAGCAGCACAAGCTAGTCAGGTCCAACTCACACCCACCCACACCCACTCATGTATTTATCTAACCTATTTTTAAAACTACACAACGTTTTAGCCTGAATAACTGTACTCGGGAGTTTGTTCCACTCATCCACGACTTATTAAACCGAACCAGTGCTTTCCTAAACCCTTTCCTGAATCTGAATTTTTGCAACTTGAAACCATTGCTGCGAGTCCGTCTTGGCTGGAAATTTTCAGCACGCTATTTACATCCCCATTATTTATTCCCGTTTACCATTTATACACCTCGATCATATCCCCCCTAATTCTACGCCTTTCGAGAGAGTGCAGATTCAGGGCCCTCAGTCTATCCTCATACGGAAGATTTCTGATACATGGGATCATCTTGTCATCCTCCTCTGTACATTTTCCAGAGCATTTATATCCATCTGTAATAAAGGTGACCAGAACTGAGCAGCATAGTCTAAATGAGGCCTAACCAAGGATATATAGAGTTGAAGAACAACCTGAGGACTTATAATTTTTTATACTTCTAGATATGAAGCCAAGAATTCTGTTAGCTTTATTGCGAACACTAATGCACTGTTGTCTTGGTTTTAGATTACTGCTAACCAGAACTCCTAAATCCTTTTCGCAATCAGTAGTATTAAGATCTACATTATTTAGTTTATATGTGGCATGGTTATTTACCTGTCCAACATTTAGAACTTTGCATTTGTCTATATTAAACTGCATCTGCCACTCCCCATGCATCATCTATTCAAATCATCCTGGAGTGCCTAGTGTCCTCTTAGAATGAAATTTGGACGGCCTATTTTGGTGTCATCAACAATTTACTTTGTCGCTATTTATTCCGTCTTTCTACAGTTTATCGTTTTTGTAAATTGTGAACACAACAGGCCCAAACACTGACCCTGAGAACATGCTTTCTAGTGTTATTTATTTAAATGTTAAAAATGTGCAGTATTAGGCAGCTTTTTGCCAGTGGACTGTTGATTGTGTGATGTTTGGAGGTTACTTAAATTATTTTTTTTTTTATTATCACACTGGCCGATTCCCACTAAGGCAGGGTGGCCCAAAAAAGAAAAACTTTCACCATCATTCCACTCCATCACTGTCTTGCCAGAAGGGTGCTTTACACTACAGTTTTTAAACTGCAACATTAACACCCCTCCTTCAGAGTGCAGGCACTGTACTTCCCATCTCCAGGACTCAAGTCCAGCCTGCCAGTTTCCCTGAACCCCTTCATAAATGTTATTTTGCTCACACTCCAACAGCACGTCAAGTATTAAAAACCATTTGTCTCCTTTTCACTCCTATCAAACACACTCACGCATGCCTGCTGGAAGTCCAAGCCCCTCACACAAAAAAACCTCCTTTACCCCCTCCCTCCAACCTTTCCTAGGCCGACCCCTACCCCGCCTTCCTTCCACTCAGACTGATACACCTCTTGAAGTCATTCTGTTTAGCTCCATTCTCTCTACATGTCCGAACCACCTCAACAACCCTTCCTCAGCCTCTGGACAACAGTTTTGGTAATCCCGCACCTCCTCCTAAAATTCCAAAACTACGAATTCTCTGCATTATATTCACACCACACATTGCCCTCAGACATGCATCTCCACTGCCTCCAGCCTTCTCCTCGCTGCAACATTCATCACCCATGCTTCACACCTATATAAGAGCGTTGGTAAAACTATACTCTCATACATTCCCCTCTTTGCCTCCAAGGACAAAGTTCTTTGTCTCACAGACTCCTAAGTGCACCACTCACCCTTTTCCCCTCATCAATTCTATGATTCACCTCACTTTCATAGACCCAAACCGCTGACACGTCACTCCCAAATATCTGAATACATTCACCTCCTCCATACTCTCTCCCTCCAATCTGATATCCAATCTTTCATCACCTAATCTTTTTGTTATCCTCATAACCTTACTCTTTCCTGTATTCACTTTCAATTTTCTTCTTTTGCACACACCTACCAAATTCATCCACCAATCTCTGCAACTTCTCTTCAAAATCTCCCAAGAGCACAGTGTCATCAGCAAAGAGCAACTGTGACAACTCCCCACTTTGTGTGGTTTCTTTATCTTTTAACTCCACACCTCTTGCCAAGACCCTCGCATTTACTTCTCTTACAACCCCATCTATAAATATATTAAACAACCACGGTGACATCACACATCCTTGTCTAAGGCCTACTTTTACTGGGAAATAATTTCCCTCTTTCCTACACACTCTAACTTGAGTCTCACTATCCTCGTAAAAACTCTTCACTGCTTTCAGTAACCTACCTCCTACACCATACACTTGCAACATCTGCCACATTGCCCCCCTATCCACACCCTGTCATACGCCTTTTCCAAATCCATAAATGCCACAAAGACCTCTTTAGCCTTATCTAAATACTGTTCACTTATATGTTTCACTGTAAACACCTGGTCCACACACCCCCTACCTTTCCTAAAGCCTCCTTGTTCATCTGCTATCCTATTCTCCGTCTTACTCTTAATTCTTTCAATAATAACTCTACCAAAACACTTTACCAGGTTTTACTCGACAGACTTCTCCCCCTATAATTTTTGCCCTCTCTTTTATCCCCTTTGCCTTTATGCAAAGGAACTATGCATGCTCTCTGCCAATCCCTAGGTACCTTACCCTCTTCCATACATTTATTAAATAATTGCACCAACCACTCCAAAACTATATCTCCACCTGCTTTTAACATTTCTATCTTTATCCCATCAATCCTGGCTGCCTTACCCCCTTTCATTTTACCTACTGCCTCACGAACTTCCCTCACACTCACAACTGGCTCTTCCTCACTCCTACAAGATGTTGTTCCTCCTTGCCCTATACACGAAATCACAGCTTCCCTATCTTCATCAACATTTAACAATTCCTCAAAAAATTCCCTCCATCTTCCCAATACCTCTAGCTCTCCATTTAATAACTCTCCTCTCCTATTTTTAACTGACAAATCCATTTGTTCTCTAGGCTTTCTTAACTTGTTAATCTCACTCCAAAACTTTTTCTTATTTTCAACAAAATTTGTTGGGTAACATCTCACCCACTCTCTCATTTGCTCTCTTTTTACATTGCTTCACCACTCTCTTAACCTCTCTCTTTTTCTCCATATACTCTTTCCTCCTTGCATCACTTCTACTTTGTAAAAACTTCTCATGTGCTAACTTTTTCTCCCTTACTACTCTTTACATCATCATTCCACCAATCGCTCCTCTTCCCTCCCGCACCCACTTTCCTGTAACCACAAACTTCTGCTGAACACACTAACACTACATTTTTAAACCTACCCCATACCTCTTCGACCCCATTGCCTATGCTCTCTTTAGCCCTTCTATCCTCCAATAGCTGTTTATATCTTAAATATTTATACTTAAACATTTACAGAATTACAATGTATGTCATGTATTGCGATACTGTTAAAGAATGCATAAACACTAAGTAGTGTTTTACGGTTATTGCCAATTTTATTTTTAATAAAGGCTTTCTAAATTGTATGATGTATTTCAGGTGGACAACAGTGACCCAGTAGCAGTTCGTGCAATTGTAGACACTATTGTTGACCAGATTCGGCATCTTAAAAAGTCTGTGGAGCATACAATAGAGCTAAGCAAGGAGAAGGGTCTTGTCAGGGAGTCAGCATCTTCAGAAAGTTAGTATTCATTATATTTTTGATGTATCTAATTACTGTAATCTGTTAATGGTTCTGGGGATTGTTGTCCCACAATGATTCATGCCTCTTCCTCCATCTTTGTTTATTCATGCTTAAATATACAGTGGACCCCCGCCTTACGGTGACATCGCGTTACGTTAAATCCGCCATACGATACATTTGAACGCAAAAATTTTGTCTCGCCTCACGCGACTCGTCGGGACACGTCTCGGATGAATCGCATGTATATTACACGTCTGTGTGTGTGTGTGTGTGCGCGCGCATGCGTGCGCGTGTGCGTGCACGTGTTACCTGTCCGTGTGTGTGTGACCTGTCCATGTGTGTGTGTGTGTGTGTTACCTGTCCATGTGTGTGTGTGTGTGTGTGTTTACCTGTCCATGTGTGTGAGTGTTGCCTGTCTTGTGTGTGTGTGTGTGTGTGTGTGTGTGCGTGTGTGTGTGTGTGTGTGTGTGTGTGCATGCATATGTTACCTGTTCATGTGTGTGTGTGTTGCCTATGCCAGTTGTGGAATCCATTGTGCCTACTTCAAAGATTAAGGAAATGTGTGCAAAGTGGGTTGAACTGCAAACCTTTATGGATGAAAAGCACCCTAACACAGCTATTGCAAGCCGTGCTGGTGACTATTACAATGACAATGTTGTGGCCCATTTTAGGCAAATCTTAAAGGAACAGGAGGTACAAAGCTCTATAGACAGATTTGTTGTGCGACAGAGGTCCAGTGACTCTGAAGCTGGTCCTAGTGGCATTAAAAGAAGGGAAGTAACCCCGGAAAAGGACTTGATACCTCAAGTCCTAATGGAAGGGGATTCCCCTTCTAAACAAGAACAACTTCCACACTCTCCCCTCCTCCCATCCCATCAGTCATCACCAGATCTTCAATAAAGGTAAGTGTCATGTATTCTATTCTTAGTAGAGTATTAATTGTGCATGTCTTCTTAAGTTTGTGTGTATGTATTAAAATTAATATTTCATGTGGTAAAATTTTTTTTTTCAGACTTTTGGGTGTCTTGCACGAATTAATTTGATTTCCATGATTTCTTATGGGGAAAATTAATTCGCCTTATGATAATTTCAGCTCATGATGAGCTCTCAGGAACGGATTAATATTGTAAGGCGGGGGTCCACTGTACTTAATACAATATTCTCCAGCTTGTATAACACATGGACTGGCTAAAAGTAATTTGTGTGCAAATGTTATCATAATATATATATAATGAATGTAACTATGTACTTGGGTATTTAACCCTTTGAGGGTTTTGGTCGTACTAGTACGTCTTACGCGTAGGGGTTTTTGACGTACTAGTACGCATAAATTCTAGCGGCCTCAAATCTAGTGGGAGAAAGCTGGTAGCCTTCATATGAAAGAATGGGTCTATGTGGTCAGTGTGCACAGTCTAAAAAAAATCCTGCAGCACACAGTGCATAATGAGAGAAAAAAAACTTTGACCATTTTTTTGGAAAAAATCAGCGACTTTGCAGTGTATTTTCGTATGGTATTTATTGTTGTATTCTAGTTTTCTTGTCTCATTTTATAGACGGGAAAAGACATATTACAGAAATTGAGATGATTTTGACTGGTTTTACAATGAAAGGTGCCTTGAAATTGAGCCAAAGTAGCAGAAATTTTCGATTTTTACCAAACTTCAAAGTAAACAAATCGTGCCAAGCGTGCAATACACGTCAACTGGGTGATCTAATATTCTTTCACAAGTGCACCAATAATATTTATACCATTTTTTACACTAATGCAGTAGTCTGCATAAGAAAATCTTATATTTTTTTGTGAGAATAAAAATTTCCCAAGTGGAAAGCAAAAGAATATAAGAGGGGCCTTGAGACGTGACTAATGACTAGAGGAAATGTCATTTTATCCCAGGAATGTCTTTCTTTTTTATTCTGGACCCTATTCGAAATTGGCATCTTTTGAAATTTGTGTGAAATTGGCAAAATTGCTAAATTCTGACCAAACTGTACTGGATAGTTGAATTTCATAAATGGGTGGTTCTTGCACCCATTCGATAGAAAAAGTGGAGTTCTAGCGAAATATTCATGTTTTTTGTCGACTAGTACAGTGAAATTGGCCGAAAATGGGCTCAAAGTGGGCAAAATCCCCGATGCGTAAACATCGCCGAAAACCGCTACTTTGCGAGAGCATAATTCCGTAAGTTTTCTATCAAATTTCAAACTTTTGGTGTCTTTATGATCGGGAAAAGATTCTCTATCTTTTCATAAGAGAAAATAATTTTTTTTTTTTAAATTTGGCCGACCCTGAGAACGAGTTTCGGAGAGGGCCTGTCGACCCTCAAAGGGTTAACCTACCTTGTGGTAGAATACAATAATGTTGCAAAGACGGTAAATGTTGGTTAGAGAAAAAAATAATTTGAAATTAGGAATTTTTTAATATTGTTATGTTATTTTAGTAAATACTTCTGTGCTGTAAAATGTTAGACACCATTGTAATTTAAATTGAAACCTGATAACATGCCACACCATGTTGAGGTGAAGTGCCTGGCTAGTACAGGACTGTATGCAAAATGTTTCTACTAGTAGTGAGAGTCAACGAATGTGGATTTGCATAAATATTTATTTGTGGATTGTATAAATATTCATAATTTGTTTATTAGTTGTCATACCAAGCAAATATATTTTTGTCACCTTTTTTTTTTCCACATTCTTATGCATATTTAATTTCTTATTCCTAGGTGGGCTGAGTGAGAGTGAGGTGCAGGAACTGCAGGAACAAGTGATCAAGCTTAAGTCTCTTCTCTCAACAAAGAGAGAGCAAATTGCAACTCTGCGTACCGTCCTAAAAGCAAACAAGCAAACAGCAGAGGTAACAGTTCTTGCCTCTGGCAGGGCAGTGATAGTGTGAATGATGGTAAAAGTGTTTCTTTTTTGGGTTGCTCTACCTCGTTGAGAGATGGTTAGTGTGTTAAAAATTATACAAGTTTTAGGTTTTTATTCATGTTCTCAGTGAGAGATATAGTTTGGAAAAGTGAAATATTTACTGGTATGGATGAATCAAAGGTGGTTGTAGTCTGAGGAGTATATAATGAAAAGTTTATTAGTGGATGCAGAAGGGTAAGTGTGTCAGTGTAGTGGTGCCACTGCTTATTTATGCTTGTGAAAAGATGGTTAAAATTTATTGCAGCAAATAGGATGTTTGCTGCAATAAATTTTAACCATCTTTTCACAAGCATAAATAAGCACTGGCACCACTATACTTTGACACACTTACCCTTCTGCATCCACTAATAAACTTTTCATTATATACTCCTCAGACTACAACCACCTTTGATTCATCCATACCAGTAAATATTTCACTTTTCCAAACTATTGGCAGTTTGGAGGGATATGTTGTGTATCTTTATACGTATATGCTTCTAAACTGTTGTATTCTGAGCACCTCTGCAAAAACAGTGATTGTGTGTGTGTGTGTGGTGAAAGTGTTGAATGATAATGAAAGCATTTTCTTTTTGGGGATTTTCTTTCTTTTTTGGGTCACCCTGCCTCGGTGGGAGACGGCTGACTTGTTGAAAAAAAAAAAAAAAAAAGGATGTCTAAGTATAATTTGTGAAGTGAATATTGTTCATAAAATAATGAATAAAAAGTGTCGGGTGTGAAAAGTATTATACAATAAGCTGAGATAGTGTGATAATGTACAAGAAGCAGATCAATATAGTTAAAGTAGGTGTGTAAATTGTGAATAATTAGAAGATGACAGAAGGGTTTGAAAGGGGGAAGCTGTATAGTCCTTGTGGCTTAGCGCTTCTTTTCTGATTATAATAATAATAATAATTGAAAGGAGGTTTTGTGTGCGAGGGGCTTGGACTTCCAGCAGGCATGCGTGAGCGTGTTTGATAGGAGTGAATGGAGACAAATGGTTTTTAATACTTGACGTGCTGTTGGAGTGTGAGCAAAGTAACATTTATGAAGGGATTCAGGGAAACCGGCAGGCCGGACTTGAGTCCTGGAATGGGAAGTACAGTGCCTGCACTCTGAAGGGGGGTGTTAATGTTGCAGTTTAAAAACTGTAGTGTAAAGCACCCTTCTGGCAAGACAGTGATGGAGTGAATGATGGTGAAAGTTTTTCTTTTTCGGGCCACCCTGCCTTGGTGGGAATCGGCCAGTGTGATAATAAAAAATAATAAAAAATAATTGAAAGGGGTTATTAAAATGTTAGGCTTGAACATCAGGCAGGCATGAGTTGAGTATGTTAGATTGGAGTGAGTGAAAGTTAGTGGTCTTTGGGATTTGGCATGTTTGAAGGTGAGCATGGTAATACCTGTGAAGGGATTCATGATAGCTCAGCTAGTCGGGTATTAGTTTTTGTTTGTTGTGAAGGGAAGGAAAAGTACAGTGCCAAGAAATGGGATGGGATGTTGCCATTTGCTTGAACATTTGTTCATGATGTTTGTCACTTTGGTGGGAAAGGGAGTAGTTAAAAGAAATTGTATTGTGTAAGCAGTTATAAATATATATGCTGTTTGCCCAATATAGACTTTTAAATCTTGCATAAACAACATAAATGTGATGTTTGGGTTTAAAATGTAGTTTTTAAGCTAGTTCTTTAATAAGTATGAATATATATAAAAAATCAATCTTCCTTAGGTTGCTTTGGCCAATCTAAAATCTAAATATGAGACAGAGAAGAGTATAGTGTCTGAAACTATGATGAAGCTGCGCAATGAACTTCGACTTTTGAAGGAAGATGCTGCCACATTCTCTAGTGAGTATATGTGATCCCTGTCTATTTAATATTTTGGTTAGTTCATAAAGCCTTGTAGGTTGGTAGACAGCAACCACCCAGGGAAGTACTACCGTCCTGCCAGATGACTGTGAAACAAAAACCTGTAACTGTTTTGCATGATGGTAGGATTGCTGGTTTCTTTTTCTGTCTCATAAACACGCTAAGATAACAGGGATATCTTGCTACTCCTACTTACACTTTGGTCACACTTCACAGACACGCACATGCATATATATATATACATACATCTAGGTTGTTCTCTTTTTTTTCTAAATAGCTCTTGTTCTTTTTTATTTCTTCTATTGTCCATGGGGAAGTGGAAAAGAATCTTTCCTCCGTAAGCCATGCGTGTCGTATGAGGCGACTAAAATGCCGGGAGCAATGGGCTAGTAACCCCTTCTCCTGTATACAATTACTAAAAAGAGAAAGAAAAAAACTTTATAAAACTGGGTTGCTTAAATGTGCGTGGATGTAGTGCGGATGACAAGAAACAGATGATTGCTGATGTTATGAATGAAAAGAAGTTGGATGTCCTGGCCTAAGCGAAACAAAGCTGAAGGGGGTAGGAGAGTTTCAGTGGGGGGAAATAATGGGATTAAATCTGGAGTATCTGAGAGAGTTAGAGCAAAGGAAGGGGTAGCAGTAATGTTAAATGATCAGTTATGGAAGGAGAAAAGAGAATATGAATGTGTAAATTCAAGAATTATGTGGATTAAAGTAAAGGTTGGATGCGAGAAGTGGGTCATAATAAGCGTGTATGCACCTGGAGAAGAGAGGAATGCAGAGGAGAGAGAGAGATTTTGGAGATGTTAAGTGAATGTATAGGAGCCTTTGAACCAAGTGAGAGAGTAATTGTGGTAGGGGACTTGAATGCTAAAGTAGGAGAAACTTTTAGAGGGGGGTGGGTGGTAAGTTTGGGGTGCCAGGTGTAAATGTAAGGGGACCCCTTTGATTAAACTTTGTTAAAAAAGGGGGTTTGTTTTAGGTATACATATTTTAAGAAAAAGAGGATAAATAAAGTAAAACGATATGATGTGGGGCGGAAATGACGTATTTGTTGGATTATGTATTGGTAGATAAAAATTTTGAGTAGACTTCAGGATGCATGTTTATAGGGGGGCACAGATTATCAGTCACTTCTGTTGTGTACACTGAGGTAAAAGGTAGATGGGATAAAAGGAGAATAAAAGCATCGGGGGAAGAGAGAGGAAAAAGGTTTTATAAACAAAAAGAGGGGCAGTTAGGGTAAGATTAAAACAGTATTGGAGGATGATGGGCAATGGAGCAAGGAAAGGGGGTGAAGAGGTAGGGGGTAGGTTTAAAATGGGGGTTTAGAGTGTTCGCAAAAGTTTGTGGTTACAGGAAAGTGGGTGCGGGGGGAAGAGGGCGATTGGGGGAAGATGATGTAAAGAGAGTGAAAGGGGGGAAAAAAGTTGCATTGGGGTTTTTACAAAGTGGTGATGCGGAGGGGGTTAAAAAAGGGGTTTTTGGAGGGGGAAATGAAAAGGGGCTGAGGGGGGGTTTAAGATCCCCATTTTTTAAAAATAAAAAAAGGGGGGTTAAAACGAAAAACCCCGGCGGTTTTGCTTTTAAAAAGGGGAAGATTATTAAAGGGAGGTTAGAGGTATTGGGAAAGGGAAAGGTATTTTGAGGAATTGTTAAATGTTGTTGAAGATAGGGAAGTGTGATTTCGTTTTAAAAGGGCAAGGAGGAATAACATCTTGTAGGGTGGGGAAAGTCAGTTGTGGTGTGGGGGAAGTTCGTGAGGCAGTAGGAAAATGAAAGGGGGAAAGGCACCGGGTTTGATGGGAAAAGATAGAAATGTTAAAAGCGGGTGGGGATTTGTTTTGGAGTGGTTGGTGCAATTTTTTAAAAAATGTTGGAAGAGGGAAAAGGTACCGGGATTGGCGAGAGCATGCTATTCCTTTGTAAAAAGGAAAAGGGGAAAAAGGGGTGCAAAAATTATGGGGGGATAAGCTGTTGATGTACCTGGTAAAGGTATGGTAAGTTAAAATTTGAAAGAATTAAGAGTAAGAGGAAAATAGGATAGCAGAGAACAAGGGGGGCTTGGGAAGGTAGGGGGTGTGTGGACCAGGGTTTACAGTGAAAATAAAATGAACAGTATTTAGTAAAGGGTAAAGAGGTCTTTGTGGATTTTGGGTTTGGAAAAGGCTATACAGGGGGGATAGGGGGGCAATGTGGAGATTTGCAAGTGTTGGTGTAGGAGGTAAAGGGTTTTGAAAGCAGGGGAAAATTTTTACGAGGATAGTGGGCCAAGTTTTGGATGTAGGAAAAAGGGGAAAAATTTTTTTAGTAAAAGTAGGCCTTAACAAAGGTGTGGATGTCACCGGGTTTTTAATATATTTTAGATGGGGGTTTTAAAGAAGTAAATGCGAGGGGTTTTGGGAAGAGGGTGGAGTTAAAAGATAAAGAATCAAACCCCCAAAAGGGGGGGTTGTCACAGCTGCTCTTTGTGATGACACGTGCTCTTGGGAGATTTTGAAAAGAAGTTGCAGAGATGGGGATGAATTTGGTAGGGTGGCAAAAGAAGAAAATTTAAAAGGGGAATCAGGAAAAAGTAAGGTTATGAGGATAACAAAAAATTAGGTGTGAAAGTTGAATATCAGTTGGGGGAAGGTATGGAGGAGGTGAACGTATTCAGATATTTGGGAGTGGACGTGTCAGCGGTGGGGCTATGAAAAATGAGGTGAATCATAGAAATTGATGAGGGAAAAAAAAGTGGTGGTGCCTTAGGGGGTCTGTGGGACAAAGACTTTGTCCTTGGAGGCAAAGAGGGGAATGTATGAGAGAATTTTTACCAACGCTCTTAATGGGTGTGAAGCGTGGGTGTGAATTTTTGCAGCGAGGAGAAAAACTGGGGCAGTGGAATGTCATGTCGAGGGCATGTTGGGGTGAATATAATGCGAGAAATTGTAGTTTGGAAGTTTGGAGGAGGTGGGGATTACCAAAACTGTTTTCCCGAGGGCTGAGGAAGGGGTTTTTGAGGTGGTTTGGAATGTAAGAGAATGGAGCGAAAACAGAATGACTTTCAAGAGTGTATCAGTCTGTAGTGGAAGGAAGGCGGGGTAGGGGTCGGCCTAGGAAGGGTTGGAGGGAGGGGGTAAAGGAGGTTTTGTGTGCAGGGGCTTGGACTTCCAGCAGGCATGCGTGAGCGTGTTTGATAGGAGTGAATGGAGACAAATGGTTTTTTTAATACTTGACGTGCTGGTTGGAGTGTGAGCAAAGTAACATTTATGAAGGGATTCAGGGAAACCGGCAGGCCGGACTTGAGTCCTGGAGATGGGAAGTACAGTGCCTGCACTCTGAAGGAGGGGTGTTAATGTTGCAGTTTAAAAACTGTAGTGTAAAGCACCCTTCTGGCAAGACAGTGATGGAGTGAATGATGGTGAAAGTTTTTCTTTTTCGGGCCACCCTGCCTTGGTGGGAATCGGCCGGTGTGATAATAAAAAAAAATAATGACAACATTAACGAATGCAAAAAAGCACACGACTATAGCTAATGTTTTAACTATTTAAATAGGTCTGCGGGCTATGTTTGCTGCCAGATGTGAAGAATACGTAACTCAGCTGGATGAAGTGCAAAGGCAGCTAGTGGCTGCAGAAGAGGAGAAGAAAACTCTAAATTCACTCCTGCGTATGGCTATTCAACAAAAATTAGCCCTGACACAAAGATTAGAAGATATGGAGTGTGACCGTGAAAGGTAGGTCTGTGGAATTGTACAGGCATTACCTCACTGATATGGTGGTTTAGGTTCTAGACCATCTCTGTAAAGCAATAGTAAAATAATATATAAAAAATTAAAATTGTCAAAACCATCTTAAGAGCAAGGCAAGGTCTGAAAATAATAAGCATGAATATAATTGAAAAGCGCCATATTAGCAAAGTGCTCTAAAGAGAGTGCATATAACAATTTCGTGAGTCATGTTGACGGCTTTGAGGGGACTTGAGTTAGAGTTCGTCACTGCTATGCTAGCGGGAGATTTGTCTGTAAAAACTTGCATTTGTGGTCATATTGGTGCCTATGCTAATGTTCCTATGTTGGATGAATCTTATTGAAGCTAGCTGGCCCAGTGGCTAACGCAACGGTCTGGAGTTTTGAGACTGACCACGGGTTCAAACCCCACCCGTTGTATGTTTTTTTTTTAAGAGTGCACATAAACAAATTATGCCTGTATTTGTATACATTTTCTGCATTTTACTTTCACTAAAAGCTGTCTATAAAGATTCCGTGGGTTCCCATGTCTACAAAAAATAAAGAAGTTTTACTAAATTATATCAGTCTCTCCCTTCTATTATTATGGAGCAACAAGTCGCTTATTGAACAATTAATTTTTTGCTTCTATCCAGCATGGGTAGGATGGATGTTAAATGTTAGAATTGTCATCTCAATACAGCCAAAATACAAGTCCAGTGAAACCTTGTTTAAATGACTAATAAGGGTTGGGGGGGGAAGGGATCCATTGATGCTGATTGTCCATAAAATTTGAAAGATGAGACTGTTTTTCCATGATCATAAGAATATCTTAGAATTTTGGATTAGTTCTATTCAGATGAAAATCAATTTATCCAGCAGACCATAACAATAATGGACAATTTTGGATTTAATGGACTTTGTCTAGTCACAAACTTTGACTATAAAATGAGAGTCTGTTAAATGAAGGTTTTATTATAAGCCTTAGGCTCACTTGATCAGTTTGGGGCCCAGTGATAACCAAACTTGCAGATTGGCAAACCATTCCTTAATCTTTACCATTTAGTCTAAATTGTGTAATTTCTTTTATATTCTGTTTTGTGCAAGAATGGTACATAATACCGACAAGATGAAATTAAGACACATGTGCAACATCTGGGTATCTTTATTGTAGACGTTTCGCCATCCAGTGGCTTTATCAATACAAATTCTAGGACATAACTTGAAGACAGTAGGACTATATACAGAAGATGAGGTAATCAGTCCCTCAACCTTGGAGTAGGTGCGAAGAGCACCATAGTCGTGGAGATTCTGAAATCTCGACGACTATGGTGCTCTACGCACCTACTCCAAGGTTGAGGGACTGATTACCTCATCTTCTGTATATAGTCCTACTGTCTTCAAGTTATGTCTTAGAATTTGTATTGATAAAGCCACTGGATGGCGAAACGTCTACAATAAAGATACCCAGATGTTGCACATGTCTTAATTTCATATTCTGTTCTGAACAAAAAACCTTAATTGATTCTGTGATTTGGCAGGTTCAACATAAGAAAACACACGGGCAGTCGTGGACGTGCACACAGCTCCCGCTTTAATAACCAGCCTCACAGTTCGCCCTCTCAACATCATTATCAGCGTAGGGATAATTATTAAGATAATTGGTTTGGATATGTGGCATTTGAATTGTTTTCCATTGCTGTATTGTACCATTTTGTAAGGCCTTCTTCAAACTTCCATCTTGTAGGTGGTTTTTATATTATGACAGGAAGGATTCAAGGTTCTTTTGAGAAGTATTAACCAGATAGATAACCATAATGGGAAAGCAAAGTTTTTTTTTCTTCTTCTTCTTCTTCTTCTTCTTCTTCTTCTTCTTCCAACAAGTTGGCTGTCTCCCACCAAGGCAGGGTGACCCAAAAAGAAGGAAAATCCCAAAAAGAAAATACATTCATCATCATTCAACACTTTCACCTCACTCATACATAATCACTGTTTTTGCAGAGTTGCCCAGATACAACAGCTTAGAAGCATATATAACATGCCCCTCCAAACTGCCAAAATCCCAAACCACTCCTTTAAAGTGCAGGCATTGTACTTCCCATTTCCAGTACTCAAGTCCAGCTATATAAAAATAACTGGTTTCCCTGAATCCCTTCACTAAATATTACACTGCTCACACTCCAACAGCTTATCAGGTCCCAAAAACCATTCGTCTCCATTCTCTCCTATCTAACACACTCACGCACGCTTGCTGGAAGTCCAAGCCCCAAGCTGGCTGTCTCCTACCAAGGCAAGGTGACCTGAAAAAGAAACATTCACCATCATTCACACTATAACTATCTTGCCAGAGGTACATGGATATGACAGTTCAGATGTCCCTCCAAAATGGCAAATATCTGAATCCCTTCTTTAGAGTGCAGGCACTGAACTTCACACCTCCAGGACTTGAGTCGGGCTGAATGGTTTCTTTGAATCCCTACACAAAATATTACCCTGCTCGCACTCCAACAGCTCGTCAGGTTCCATAAACCATTTGTCTCTACTCACTCCTATCTAACACGCTCACACATGCCTGATGCATGTCCAGGCCCCTTGTACACAAAACCTCCTTTACCCTCTCCCATGGGGAAGTGGAAAAGACTCTTTCCTCCATAAGCCATGTGTGTCATAAGAGGCATCTAAAATGCCAGCACGGGGCTAGTACTCCTTTCTTTATAACTTATTAATGTAAAAAGAAAACTTTCATTTTTGCTTTTTGGGTCACCCTATCCTGGTGGGAGACGGCCAGCGTGTTAAGAAGAAAGATATATATATAATTATATTATGCATGCATATACATTGGTGCATCAAACTGAAATGAACGATTGTCAATGAAGAAATAACCAACATGGAGAAAAAAAACAGGGAGAATAGTTGTCTGAATATTTGAGCCGTGACCTAAGATACTCTTCCTATTTTTGACTCTGTGGGGGTTATTTCCTCTTAAGCATTTTTAATGCCTCATTTTATTTGAGTTGAGGTTTTTATTATATATTGTTACAGATGTATGGTATTTTGTTATTTATGTCATTTGTGTTTTATGAAATTGTTTCAAAAATGAGACATTTAATTGAGAAACCTCTAAATATTAGGTACACTAGTTAACGAATACTTTTATCAAAATGGTGTACAATGTTGTTCACAGCGTCCATGTTTATAAAGAATTTAACAAATTGTGTAAATGATACCTGATAGTTTATAAGATTCAAAATTAAAATATTTATTAAATCATAATCTGAGATATAGAGTATTGTACTATATTTACATTCGAGCTTTTACCAATTTTAATTAATTTTATTTATGAGCACTTTTAAAAGATTCTGATATGATAATACAGTAAAATGTCATTTTAGATGAAATGGGTCGGGACCAAGCAATTTATGGATGTAGAGTTTGTGAAGAAATGAAAATGACTTGTAATGCAGTTAAAGCACTTAAATATAACAAAAAAATTTTACATTCTGCCTTGTACAATAACATGTATAATAGGCAACTGTATATTTTGATTTAACTCTTACAGTATAAAATCAAAGCAGTCTGATTACATGGTGTATGAAAATAAACTTGTCACTGTAATGCATTAACCCACTGTTGATCAGAAAGATATATGCTATAACTTGTTGCATTGATCGGTTTAGTGCTTAATTTGATTATATTAATATTTTTTTGCGTTGAGCACTGATAATCAAGGCAGGACGGTGGGCATTTGCATAGTCGCATCTTATACAATGTGAAATTAAAACCACCCAGTTTCATATGTTGAACTACAGTATGCCATACACAGTAATACTTCATTCACCAAATGTTGGTCAGAAAGCAGTATGTACAGTAGTAGCATTCTCTGAATGTTTTGCTTCTGATTGACATGCAACATGACTATGGATTGGAGTGGTTAGGTGGGCAAGGCTATATTCTTATCTCTAAGAATTACATTACATAGCTTTCAGTAAATCATCATGTCATCAGCAGACCACTACACACAGGTCACATTAGCATCCAGTGGTTTTTTAGGTTCCAAGACCACCCATATTTTTTCTTGATGTGAAAAATAATGGTCCTCTTATATATATATATAACACAGGCATCTAAATAAAAATGTTTTCAGTAAATTATATGCTGTATATGTTTGCTTAGTTAACATGTATGGAGAATAGGTTGCCTCAACACACTAACACAGCAGAAACACAAGTTACTCGTAACTTTTAGGGTTGTTTAGGGCCAAAACAGCATAAGCTGTATTAAACCCCTCCCATAAGACAATAGAGGAAATTTCCTCACTGATACCCAGGGCTTGTGCAGAAGTTCCTGTATAACTCTGTATATACTAAGATGCAGCATATAACCAGAAAATGAGACTATGCAGAATCTGAAGCACTCTGGCTTCCAACCATAGCACACTCATACAGGATATTTAGGATCTTTTTATAATTTTCTTTTTTGAAATGGTTTTGTCCCTAGTGACATCAAATTTTTGGTGCTGAATATTTAATGCTTAATTATGTCACTGCATAAGATTCATTTCCTAAATGCTCCTATAGTCAAAATACAATAATATTTGTAATAGGAGGTAGTGAAAGTGCAGTATCCATTAGTCAGCAAGCTTTGCATTCTCACTGCTGTACTTGTTAGGTTAACAAGGATGATCCAGGTCTAGGAGTGAGGGTTCCTGTGAGTGTTTCACTTGTTAGCACATTAGCCTTGTAGAAGAGTGCTAACATATAATATTTTAGTGAATCTAATTTTCATATCTAAAGCTCTTGAGCATTTTCAGTTACTCTTGCATGTTACTGCTGTGTACATTGATGGATCAGAATCCTCTGATGTAGGATATGTAACAGTTTTTTGCATAGTGTTACAGGGATACTTACTGGATATTGATAACATTTTCACAGCAGTTATATATGCATTTCTTGCAGCTATCATCCATATGGCATCTGTTCTCACCTAGTCTTTTCTTGTAGTCTTTGACTGTGCATTACAAGTGCTTTGGAGTTTTGACTTGTTGCATCAAATCGTTCTTCCAATTTAACTCTGGCTATGTTACTTGATCACCAAGCATGAAGACATCCTTTGTAGCTGGGTCCCTGCACATTCCATGGTTCAGAACCTCTCTCACACACAGATACACTTCAGACTATTTTCCAGTTTTGAGGAGAATTCCAGATTGATGACAGTAGCATTGGTTAGAGGAGTCTGCAAGTTCATGCCCTTTGCACCAGAATGATACAATATATCAAGACTAACACAAGATTGAAAATACCCAATCTTGTGCTGAACAATACAAGATCTGATTTTGAATTTTTTTGCATGTCCTGGGGATGCTATATTTGGAGTTTCATTGCCTGATGCAATGTAGTTGTTCATAATGTCTTATACATTATAGTCTAGGTACTTTTGTGAATGGCAAGGTACTCTTGCCATTCACGTCATTATTTCTAAAATGCATTCATCCTATAAACTGCAGCCCTTCGCACAGCCTCTGTTCAATGGCAATGCAGGTTCGGCAGTCAACAACAGTCTATGCTCTTTCACCAGTAGCAGTGCCGAGGTACAGTCTACATGAACCTGGAATGGACTAGCTCTTTGTTGCTGAATCCTGCTGGACACCACAGTTTGCACTGCTGTGCAAACAGCAGGACAATCCCTGCTCTCCTAGTATGAATGGGAGTTTTCTCCAGAACTCAATCCTGATTTGTCCCCTTTCCCAAACATATCAAACTTTGGTGTATGCATTAGTGGGTAACCACCAATTAAACTGCTAACTTCATCAGTTGAAAGAGGTAGGCTAGTTGCAGCAGTCATTTCTTCATCAGTCATTTTGTCTGTCTAGTTTATGTAAATTCTCCACAATCAGTCCTTGCACCTGAAATTAGCCATTTTAAATCGAGGCAAGATGGCCCAAAGAAGGAAACAAATTCTCCATCACTTGTTCTCTAGTTGGCTTTTCCAGAAAATTAAAATAGCTTGCCAAATTGCAACATCATTGGACTTAGCAGATCAAATATAATTTTGTTTTTCTAATGAATTTGTATATTAATGCTATGAGACCAGTAGAATATTTCATGAGATATACGCTAATGTTTGCGCCTTAGCCGGGTCCATACACTTGTCTCCATAATGTGAATTTAAGGGTTTGAACCTAAAGTGTTTCATACACATTTTTATTACTATGTGTAAAAAGAAGGTAAATTATAGTTTTCTTCTTTTTCGGGTCACTCTGCCTTAGTGGGAGACGGCCGGTATGTTAAAAAAAATTGCCATGGACATCATTATTAAGCAAATTGTTGCTCTGCTGGAAAAAGGGGATTTTTATTAGGTTGACATTCCATTACCATGGGATTTTACTGTAATAATTTTGCTTCTCTTGTTCATGGTACAGACTTGTAGGCATATCTGTAGAAAAAAAAAAGTGGAGATATTTTATTTCATATTACTTTTAAAGGCTAGGGTGAAGTCCATGGTTAGTGAAGGTATACCTATACTGTGAATTAGGAATATGTTGTGCCCATTTTTATCTCTTGTGGTAAATGGGTTACAGCTTAAGTCTAAATCTGAGGAGTGCAGCTAAGATATTTCTGCACTAGTAAGTGGATGATGATAAAATTGATCTTTTGAAGTGCTTGTTTTAAGAAATTGCTAGTAAATATTTTAATCAAAATCGAGAATCTCAAATTGATTATTAGCCGTTGTACTGACTACATCCTTTTCGATAGCAGGAAGGCTTACTTAAGATGGATTCCATAAATTGGCATATGTAAACCACCCCTACACTCCATTAACTCCCTCAAGTACATACACTTTAAAGAAAAAAAAATTGTATACTTGGTAATCGCTAATGAATGAACACACGTGCACACACTTGTGCACGCATAGCATTTACATGTGCACGTGCACTTATGCACGTACACACTTACACATCTTGTATCTCATGCTCACTCTCACTGAAGTTAGAATACCTGGTACATTATGCAGCCTTAGTATCCACATGTAAAAAATAAGTTGCAACATAACTCTTAAAGCTAAGATATATAAATTCTGAAAACATTATAAATATGCATTCAGAAATAAATATACCAATGGAAGAAGAGGAAAAGAAAAACTTAAGAAGTGCGAGATACTAACTGAGTGTTGCACTATATTTAGAGTTATTAGAAGTGTTCTTGATCCTCAAAGTACACATTTATATGGAAGCCGTTGCTAAAACTAAAGTAACAAGCTATAACATACAGTACATATTGGATAGTCAAACAAAGCATTAGGATCAGATGAGATCATTCTGTTATAAGTTAATATGCAAGAGAACTAAGCTATCCAATTTAAATTTTGGAACTACATTACATATAGGTAAGCTGGCACCCAAATGGTAAATGGCCACAAATTATGCTGATATAAAAGAAAATGTTAGGGAAGACAAGCATCTCACTTAGAGTTGCTGTAATAAACTGAAAAAGCCATTGAAGTTGATAAAACTGCAGAGTACAGTACTTCTGTTAATGGTTAAATTTTAGATTGGAAAATATCATTCAGTAAATCCATTATATTCAACTACTATAATAGTTAAATTCTGCAGAAGAAATTGATGGTCAAATCATATTAACTTCTATTTAAAAAAAGCTTAGAATATGTTACAGTAGATGACATTTGGAAGAAATATCGAGATATTTATGATTATTGGAGCCCCAGTAGTGCATGGTTTCATTGATTATATCATTTGCATTATGTTGTCACATTTGTTTAATTTCATCTTAAATAAACTTCCTGATCTGTCTTTTATAATTTGGGTCCACATATTTTACATGACCTTTTCAGCTGGTGTTTAAGTTATTCTGATGTTTTAATTTCACTTATTTATTTGTGTGAATATCAGACTCTTGCTACATGTTTGTTTTATAAAGATATTAAGTACTGGATTGTGTTCACTGATGTTTTTATTTACTATCATCTGAATAACAATGAAACTTATTTGTATATTATGTAACAATTAATTTTAAGTTCAGTATTTCATTTTATTCAGGTTTATAAATGACAAATTATTTGAAGTGGCCAATATTTGGCTGGAGCATCTTGCGACTTTCCTCGCTATTATTGTTGGATTTGTGTTTACTTTGTTGTTGATGTCTTAAGTGTTTTGCTGGAATGTGGGAACAGTTACACCATATCATCATGTCCCAGAGACATATAGCTGCTTTGAAGCTGATGTGTTATATAGTGCTATGAAATATCAGCATATTTTACTAGTCGAACATAGACACTAATGGTTTAGACTTGAGATACAGAAGTTATTGAAAAACAGTCATTTTTACATACTGTAGTACAGTAATGATTGAGCTTCAACATTTTTAGAATCTCATGGGAACACAGTCGCTGTGGAGATGAGTAAGGAAGAAGTCTAGTTTTTGTGTTTCAAAGTTGAAGGAAGTTCATGCATGTGGATGATGCAAAGTACATTAATAAGATGTGGAAGTGTTGTGCTTGTTGCACTTGGTTGTACATTTTTATTAATTGAGCTGTTATATCCTGCAGCTAATCCAGACAAGAATATGTTATGCTTTATTGTAGATTAAAGCTGGTTGTAATCTGTCCAAATATCAGAAATCCCACTGAAGAAACAATTTTGGGGAAGAATTTCTTTGACATAATTTATAAGGAAATTTGAAGTGCATTGAGATTTTAGCAGTATGTAGTAAATACAAATTAAAAACATAGGGATAATGGGGATTCTCAAAATGCGAGCTCTACGTTTTTGGTCAAGAAAAGTAATGAAGTGTTGTGAGCTCACAGTATTGTCTTAAATGGTCCATAGCCTAAATGCTACACTGGAACCTCAGTACTCGAACTTAATTCATTCCAGAAGGCTGTTCGAGTGCCGATCTGTTTGAGTATTGAGCAAATTCTTCCCAACCATTTTCTTTTGGTTGGCTGTTATCACCAGTTTTCATAGGCCCCATGGTGACTTGTTTATACAAATAATATAAAAAAAAACACCAAAAAATGCAAAGAAACACGAAATAGTTTACAGCGAAGTTCTGGCAGGTCATGTTTGATCAAGTGCCGAGCTTTGTTCGAGTAGGGAGTTGTTTGAGTATCAAGGTTCCACTGTACACAGTTATATATTTTATTCATGCAGTTCTTATAGAGCCTGGAAACTAATTTTGCACTTTGAGTATTCTCATATAACCTCAAGACATGTTTGCTCTTTGTGTTAGGGAAAAAGTGAGAGAGTTTGCTTTGTGGAACACCTTGTGGGTGTGACTTGTAACACTTCTTCAAAAAGGAAGCCATTGTGTTTATTTTTAAGAGCTCTTATTAATATCTGATAAATATTCACTCATTATTTACTAATCTTAACACAATAATAGCTTCTTACAGTTTACAGAACCAATTGATTAATTTGTAGTAAGCAAAAATGCAATTTTACCATATAATAATGATTTGCAGTGTAGTTGAATACGGTTGTATGAAGTTGAGTGAACCAGGACACAGCTTGGTATATTTAACTGGTGTTTCATTGTAGCGTTGACTCCCAATAAAGATATACATGGCCATAAGCAGCATTCAGAATATCTGTACATAAACTTCTCTTTTAGTATCAGCTACAAAAGCTAAAAAAAAAAAATAAATGAAGTTTCATTGAATTTGTATTTAGTATTTATTTATTGTAACAAGTCTTGTTAAACTTGTGTCATGCATTTGTTATACTAATATAATATGGCTGAATTCTTATAAATAGTTGCTAATAGAATTTGACCCTTTTATTATAAATAATGTTTGGACTCAAAATAGTAATTAGTTTGAGTTTCATTAACATTGTTCACATTTCACTTCCTCCCCAGTGGATTTTGTCTGCATGGAATCCAAGTTAATTTAGTCTTTGGGCATCTTGTCTAGATCATTTTTTTTTTTTTTTAAATGCATGTTTTTAACTTTGTGATTTTGGTAAATGGTTCAGCTAACCTATTTTTTACTGTCGTAATTTATTACCTGTAAGAACTCTCACATTTAGCAGCATTGTGTAGTTATTCTAGTAATGTCTTTTGGATATGACTCCCAGAATTGAATACCTTATTTGGGAAATTTGGTGTGCACAGCTTTTGTCTGTTATTATACTAGAAACCAACCAACTGTGAATTTTGCTAGTTATGAAATCTTGATAAGTTTTTGTGAATTACTTTAGTGGGAGGTGAATTTTCAATTATTTTTTCTAATGCTAAGAATTCAAGGCATACTGAATTTTCATCTGTTAAAATTCATTTTGGCAGATGGCTCTGCAAGAGGGTGCCTTACATTTTTATAGGCACTCGAGTTTTGAGGTGATGAAGCTGCTCCGAATTTTGAAGTGTGTTCTGGAGTTACTGTACTTAAATGGTTATATTTTCCTCATGAATATTGAAGTATCAAACACAGTATTTTTATTTGTATCCTATGAATCAATGTTGCACATAAATTAATAATACTATAGTCAACCATATTGTTTCAGTGTAGCTGATCGGCAGGAGATACTATTGCTGGGAGTCGGGTGAAATGCCTTACATTATTAATTGAGGAACTGGTTAGCAATGTGCTTAAAAATACCAACAGCAACCCCTCTGCTTGGATGTTACGGTTTAGCAGAACCACATTTAACATATTTTTCTCGTCTGCTTAACACCCAGAAAGAGGTAAAATAGCTCTGTAGTAATCAGCGAAGTATCTCCACATACTTGGCAAGATTAACCTAATCTACTTGCCAATATAACATCTGAGGAAAAGGTAACTAGAGCACTCAGCCAAGTTTCTTTCCATACCTGGCAAGATTTAAGTTTAAAGTGTGGTTCTAGTATGCCTTTTTTTTTTTTTTTTAAGAAAGGTATCATTGGCAGGTCTTGGATTAGGGAAATATGGTGCATTTTATGCCAATCTTCTCAGGTGGTGAGTGGTTGAGTAGTCTTCAGACTAGTGTGAACTGGTAGCATTTATGTATGATTACCATAGTACTTCATGCCATCTTTTTATATTGATTTCTAGTAAAACCATTACATAAAAATTTATTCTAAAATTCGCGTGATATGAGGATATTACTTTGTGATAAACCGTGTACTGTACATGTCATTTTTTTTAATTACCATAAGATATATGCAGACAAGATTAGATTTAGTATGTGGGAAAATACTCTATTGAGGATTATGAAAGTTATTGGTATATACATGCCACGATCTCTATTCCCTGATTTGGGTAAAATGCTGCTAGTAGGGGAATTTTCTTAAATTTTGGATTTCTAAGATCACTATTATTTTAGATTTATATGGAAATTAATAAACATTTAATAAATTTATCTATTTTACTAGAAATTGTTCTACAGATTATTGGCTCATTAAATACTTAACATCCATGAGATAAACAAACGTCTTTCACAATCATGTGTAAGTACAGAAATAGTCACTACATCATCTACGGCATTTTTACTTTTGTATCTGTAATTCTTCACTGAGGATTGTAAACTTATTTGTACAATAGTATCCTATTTGCAATAAAAATGAAAAATAACTGAGATTTAATACTCCTTATACCAGTGGCAAATTACAGTTATGTCCTCCAGAGTCATGCACATTATAGAAAGCTACCAAAATTCTACAGACAAGAGGCTCATTACCCCTCTATGCAATGACTCGAGATGAAATTAGGGAGAAGTTAGGTTATGTACATGAATTACTGGTTATTATGAATCAAAGGCTTCCAAATGTTCTAGCAGTGAATGAAAGTAGAAACATGATCATTTTAATGGGAAGGAGGACATAATTAAATCTTTTGTAATTTTTTTTTTTTTAAGTGGTCAGTTCACTGTTCTGTGCCCTTTACAGGTTGTGCTTAACTGGATTATACCACTATTATAGTAATTGCTGTACGGATAATTTAGCACTGCTCGGTTGATAATACTCAGCTGACACAATGAGTGCCCTGGAAGGAGGTTCCTAGGTTTCTTGATGCTGAAGAGGGGCTCTTGATCTAGGGAGTTGGATCTGTGCTCCAGTTCCCTGAATTAAGCCTGAATACCTTCCACATCTTCCCCACAAGCACTATAATCCTACGGGTTTAGCACTTCCCCTTTGATGATAATATTTAATGTTACTTTGTTCCTGACACTTTAACAGATGTACAAGATTAATTTATTTTAATGGAAATATATTTCTGAAACCTTCCAGTACAAGTATGTACAGTTGGAATAATTTTTAGATTTTTTTTATATAAAGAAATATTCAGGGTTTTGTCGTTCACTGAGGCTCCAAAATTTTTAGAAAGGAGGTGATTAGTGGTTGTAATCTGGCCTGAAGGAGAGGCTAGAAGACCTGTCTTAAGGCAGAGTTTATAGATCAATTGCTTCAAACAAATATATACATATTAACATCCATTATTTCCACATAAAATTTACCTAACATGTGATGAATAGCCATACTATGTGGGTATTAAATTAAATGTTAGACTAGAAACTTTATTGAAGTACAAAATCCATTAAAATATACAGAAAGAATTGTGTTTTTAGGTGAAGGCTTATACTAAGATATATGGTTAAGATATAATTGTGTATTTTCATGTCACTAAGTACAGAAGACCTAGAAGCACATTATTGCTCAGGAGAACATCGGGTTTATTGAATAATCTGCTGCTTTTAGTCCTTTATAATGCATTGTATAATGTCAATGAATAATGTTAGTGTGTAATGTTATGCAGCATATTGTTACAATGTAATGTTTATCATGCCATACACAAATAACCCGCACATATAAGAAGAAGCTTACTACACTTAGTCCGACTTGACCATGACAAAGTCAATGTCCAATTCGGACCGAAACGTCTTGTAACTACTCTTTTTATGTTCTGGTTATTTGTGTATCGTTCCAGTCACGTAATTGTGCTTTGTTATTTATCAGCCATTTCTTTAATAGCAATATTAAAATCATTAATATACATTAACAAGAATAAAACATATGAGATGTAATTTAGGAACAAGAGCTTTTTGATAAAAAACATACTATATAATTTATTACATCCTTGATTAATTTTATTTTATTGTCTGTATATTATTGTACATTATTACATTTCACCAGAAAACCTCTGGCAATGTTTGGTGACAAATATTTAGAAAAAATGGATAATTTTCAACACAGGCAGTGCGGAGAAGGACACAAATGTATTCGCTTAGGACACTTTTGATGAAGATGTTTCATTCCTGGGACCTTGATCACTTCAAATAAGGTTCCAGGACAGAAACGTTTTTCATTAAAGGTGCCCTAAGTGGATGTATTTACGTACTTTTTCCCTCCTTAGGTTGTCGGCATTTACTGCCTTCTTACTGTCAACTGTATGTGAAAGCCAACTTTTAAATAAGAATGGATGCACTGCTCTTCTGACCTTGAACAACAGTCAGGTATATAGCATAACAGCCAAGTATAAAACACACTATATATAACCTAGATATTGTGGATGAAACTCGACAGTGTTGCAGCGCATCCTCAGTAATTAGTGTTTATCTGGAGTTTACCTGGAGAGGGTTTCGGGGGTCAACGCCCCCGCAGCCTGGTCTGAGACCAGGCCTCATGATAGATCAGGGTCTGATCAACCAGGCTGTTACTGCTGGCCGCATGCAAGCTGACATACGACCCACAGCCCAGTTGGTCAGGTACTGACTTTAGGTGCCTGTCCAGTGCCTTCTTGAAGACAGCCAGGGGTCTATTGGTAATCCCCCTTATGTATGCTGGGAGGCAACTGAGCAGTCTTGGGCCTCAGACACTTATTGTGTTGCTTTCAATTGGTGGCTTATTTGTGACTTGTAACAACCATGGGATTGTGACTTTTATTCTTGTAAAACTTTAAATGTACAGTGGACCCCTGGTATTCGATGGCATCGGTATTCGATAAATCCGGTATTCGATGCATTATATCGCAAAAAATTTGCCTCGGTATTCGATTGAAAAACCGGTATTTGATACGATTCGTACGAGACCTGTCCACGTGTGGCCTGAACTGCCCCGTGTGTGCCAGTGTTGACAAGCCAGCCAGTGTGCACGCATCTAAGGATACATTCGGTACATTCCATATTATCACTGTGTTTGCTGCTTGTTTCTGCAAAATAAGCCACCATGGGCCCCAAGAAAGCTTCTAGTGCCAACCCTTCGAGAAAAAAGGCACTAATGACTTATGAAATGAAGAAAGAGATAATTGCAAAGTACGAAAGTGGAGTGTGTGTGTCGGAGCTGGTCAGGTTGTATAATAAACCCCAATCAACCATCTCTACTATAGTGACCAGAAAAACGGCAATCAAGGAAGCTGTTCTTGCAAAAGGTGCAACCATGATTACGAAACAGCGACCTCAAGTGTTAGAAAATGTTGAGAGACAGTTATTGGTGTGGATAAATGAAAAACATAGCAGGAGATAGCATCTCTCAAGCGATCATTTGTGAAAAGGCTAGGAAGTTGCATGAAGATTTGGTAAAGAAATTGCCTGCAACTAGTGCTGATGTGAGTGAATTTAAGGCCAGCAAAGGTTGGTTTGAAAGATTTAAGAATCATAGTGGCATACATAGTGTGATTAGGCATGGTGAGGCTGCAGTTCAGACCACAAAGCAGCTGAAAAATATGTGCATGAATTCAAGGAGTACATAGAGGCTGAAGGATTGAAACCTGAACAAATGTTTAATTGCGACGAAACAGGACTGTTTTGGAAGAAAATGCCAAGCAGGACCTACATTACTCAGGAGGAAAAGGCACTCCCAGGACATAAGCCTATGAAAGACAGGCTTACTCTTCTCATGTGTGCCAATGCTAGTGGTGATTGCAAAGTGAAGCCTTTATTGGTGTATCACTCTGAAACTCCCAGAGTGTTCAGGAAAAACAATGTCCTCAAGGCTAATTTGTGTGTGCTGTGGAGGGCAAACAGTAAGGCATGGGTCACTAGGGACTTTTTCTATGACTGGTTACACCATGCATTTGCCCCCACTGTGAAAAATTACCTAATTGAAAAGAAATTAGACCTTAAGTACCTCCTGGTATTAGACAATGCCCCTGGTCATCCTGCAGACTTGGCAGAGCAACTTTCTGGGGACATGAGCTTCATTAAGGTCAAGTTTTTGCCTCCTAATACCACTCCTCTCCTGCAGCCCATGGACCAGCAGGTCATTTCCAACTTCAAGAAACTGTACACAAAAGCTATGTTTCAGAAGTGCTTTATAGTGACCACAGAAACTCAACTGACTAAAAGAGTTTTGGAAGGATCACTTTAATATCCTCAATTGTATAAACCTTATAGGTACGGCTTGGGAGGGAGTGACTAAGAGGACCTTGAACTCTACTTGGAAAAAACTGTGGCCACAATGTGTAGACAAAAGGGATTTTGAAGGATTTGAGGCTAATCCTGAGAATCCTATGCCAGTTGAGGAATCCATTGTGGCATTGGGGAAGTCCTTGGGGTTGGAGGTTAGTGGGGAGGATGTGGAAGAGTTGGTGGAGGAGGACAATGAAGAACTAACCACTGATGAGCTGCTAGATCATCTTGAACAGCAAGAGGGCAGACCTGAGGAAACTGGTTCAGAGGAGGGGAGAGAGAAATTGAAGAAGTTGCCTACTTCAAAGATTAAGGAAATGTGTGCAATGTGGCTTAAAGTGCAAACCTTTTTTTGATGACAATCACCCTAACACAGCTATTGCAAGCCGTGCTGGTGACTATTACACTGACAATGTTGTGAAACACTTTAGGAATGTCATAAAGGAACAGGAGGTACAGGCCACTATGGACAGATATGTTGTGCAACAGAAATCCAGTGACTCTCAAGCTGGTCCTAGTGGCATTAAAAGAAGAAGGGAAGTAACCCCAGAAAAGGACTTGCTACCTGAAGTCCTAATGGAAGGGGATTCCCCTTCTTAACACTAACACGTCTCCCCTATCCCATCCCATCAATCATCACCAGATCTTCATTAAAGGTAAGTATCAATTATTTTATTGTTATTGTAATTATTCTATTGCATTAAACTTAATATTCCATGTAGTAAAATTTTTTTTTTTCATACTTTTGGGTGTCTTGCACGGATTAATTTGATTTCCATTATTTCTTATGAGGAAAATTGATTCGGTTTTCGATATTTTCGGTATTCGATAAGCTCTTGGGAACGGATTAATATCGAATACCGGGGGTCCACTGTATAACAAATTCAGGGCTTTCTTTTATCATAGCAACAACAAGCAAACATGGGTGGAAAGGGATATATGGTTATTAAACAGGTTTACTGATAAAATTCAAATAAGCCCTAACTAGTTCTTTCAGTGAGTCACTGCTGAGGGGCGCCGTGTCTGATATGTGGTATACTTCTTCATAGCACATTTTATTATACACACAACTGATGTTTTGTGAATTACTGGTCAAAATAATGAGTGAGAATATTACTTAAACTGTTCACTGATATTAAAGTACAGAAAAGCACGCTATAAACTTAGCCGGTTCTAACACAAGGGAAGAAAATGTCATAGACATTGCCTACTTATTTTAAATTTTATATCAACTTCGAAATTAATAAAAGCACATGCTCTGAAAACTATAACGTAAGAATGAAGAAAATATAAATAGTGGTAACAGTGTCTTGTAATTAACGAGATTTTTTAGATAGATTTTGTTTTAGTGTGTGGCTTTCAAACACATTAATACTTTCCAGACTAAACTTTGACAACTAGGTATGAACGAAATGTACAAGTGGTTTTGAACAAAAAACATTAACTGAATCTAAATTTTGCTCTTTCCATGCATTAAACACAGCTCGAAGTTTCATAGTTTTTACCATTATCCAGCTCTAGAATTCCTGAACATTAACTTCTTCAGAATCAGCATCAACCTCTTGATAATCTTTCACAAGTTGAGCCAAATTCTCTTGAGCAATAGAAAGCTCAGACTCCTCTAGACCTGCACCAACATACCAGTGAACAAATGCACGTCTGCTGTACATAAGATCAAACTTGTGGTTGATACGGTCCCAGGAATCCTTCATGGCGGTGGTGTTAGCCAACATACACACTGCTCTACTCATCTCGGCCAGGTCACCACCTGGCAGGACCTTCGGGGATCCACTATTGATTCCTATTTTAAAGCCTGTGGGACACCATTCCACAAACTGGACAGTTTTCTTTAGCTTTACATCGCATATAGCCCTTTGTACATCATTAGGTGTTACATCTCCTCGATATAACAAGCAACAAGACATATATTTGCCATTAACCGGATTACAAGTTGTCATTTGTGTAGAGAGGTCAAAACAAGCGGTTGTCATGTCAGCAACTGATTGCTCTTCTCTGTAAGCATTGTCTGCTGGTATAACTGGTGCATAAGTCATCACTGGAAAGTGAAGTCGGGGTAGAGGCACAAGGTTTGTATTGAAATCTTGCACATCTACATTGAGAGTGCCATCAAAGCGGAGGGAAGCGGTTGATGCAGATATCACTTGAGCAACATGATGGTTCAAATTCTTGTAAGTTGGGCGTTCAATTCCTAATTTGTTCACACATATGTTATATGTTGCTTCATTGTCAAACACAAAAGCACAGTGATCATACTCCATAGTAGTTGAAGCATGAAGAACAGTGTTATAAGGCTCTACCACAGCTGTTGACATCTGTGGTGAAGGGAAGACGCAAAATCTCATTAAGTTGGTGCTGGAGTATTCCTGGGTCAGTTTTTCCAACAGCAGTGCCATAAATCCAGAGCCAGTGCCGCCACCAAAGGAATGTGTGCATATGACCCCCTGAGAGAGGAAATAAATCAGTATAGTAACATATAATTAATTAGCTCCTAAATCTATATTTTCTTGAATAACAGTGGAATCTCAAATTTCGAATGTATCGCTTATTGAACGTTTCAAAAATAGAACCCTTTTTTCAAGCCAACTTTGTTCCTATTATTGAATGCGCCCCTATTTTCAGACTGCCGGGTACCGGACCTGTCCGCCAGCCCGCTCTGTCCATGTCCCTGCGCAGGCACTGTGAGCCAGTCTGGCTTTGTTGATGCTTGAGTGAACACTAACCTGCGCTCTAATTCAAACATTCAACGATTATTTCATTGTGTTTAGTGCTTGTGGGACTGTGAAATAAGCTACCATGGGCCCTTAGAAACTTGCTAGTGGTACCCCTGTGGTAAAGAAAGTGAGAAATGCCATAGATGTGAAGAAGGAAATAATACAGAAGTATGAGAGTGGTGTGAGACTTGCTGAGCTTGCCAGGATGTATGGGAAAAACAAGTCGACCATCGGTTCTATTCTAGCAAAGAAAGAACAAATCAAGGAAGCTGATGTTGCAAAAATTGTTAATATGTTAACCAAAAAAAGACCACAAATAGTTTAAGAGGTTGAGACGTTGTTGCTGGTGTGGATCAAGGATAAAGAGATGGCAGGTGATAGTGTTTCAGAGACGATTATTTGCGAAAAACTAGGAAGTTGCATGCCGATCTGGTACAGAAAACTCCTGGAACCAGTTCAGTGACAGAACCATGTCCCATTATAGGGAAATGTTAAAGAGGTGCCAGAAACAGAGGACTGTGGAAAGTTATTTTGTGAGACAGGGATCCAGTGACTCTCAAGCTGGTCCTAGTGGCATTAAAAGACAGAGAAGGGAAGTAACCCCAGAGAGGGCTTTACCTGGAGTCCTCAAGGAGGGATATCCTCCTTCCAAACACTAATCCCAACTCCCTATCTTCCAGATGCCATCACCAGTCTTCAATAAAGATAAGTAAAAATGTTATTTTTATATTTATATACATAACTGAACACTATAGTATTTGTTGTGCTTATGTAAAACTGTAATTAATCTCTATAAAATGTATTTTTTGTGAATATTTTTGGGTTTCTGAAACGGATTAATTGTATTTCCACTATTTCTTATGGGAAATATTGGTTCGATTTTCAGACTTTTCTAATTTAGAACTAGCTCCTGGAACGGATTAAGTTCGATATTTGAGGTTCCACTGTATTAGTTAAAAAATATTTTATGTGCAAATTCCCTTCAAGAGGGAGGGAGGGAGCTTTGCCTGGTAGGCAAAGCTTTCGCTTCACATGCTGAGGGTCCGTGGTTCGATTCCTGAAAAGGGAGGAAACATTGGACGTGTTTCCTTACACCTGTAGTCCATGTTCACCCATCAGTAAATGGGTGTTAGTCGACTGGTGTGGGTCGCATCCTGGGGCAAAATTGACATAATTTGCCTGAAATGCTCTGCATAACAAGGTGCTCTCTATAGAAGAAAATCCTGTAACTGTACAGATGTGAATGGTAATTAATTTTCGAGATATTTGTACAACCATGTAAATTAGAAATTCACATCAACAATGGGAAAGTTGAATGATTAAGGATACTGAGGATTAGTGAAAAAGGTGAGATGAATACAAACACTGAAATATAAGCTTGTAAAGGGTCTAGAGTGGATTTGTTGTTGCTGTTTTATTCGTCAGAAAAGAGGACAAGTGTGTCCTAACACAGGTCTCAGTTATGACCCGTTACGCTGTATAGTCCTTGTGGCTTAGCGCTTCTTTTTTTATTATAATAATAATAATATGACCCGTTACATCCTAATGTAGAACACATAGTAGAATATGCAAAACAACCACTGTGAAAGTAGTGAAATTCCAAGCGCTTTCGTGACTACTCACTACTCTTTCACAGTGGTTGTTTTGCATATTTTAAAATCACCTGTTTACTGTGATCTTATTGCATAGTAGAATATGTTTATCAGGATAACAAGATACCCAAGTAATCCAGAGTGCAACACATAGAAAGATATGTTTGATAGTGTACCCAAGTGGTCTTATGCAGTACATATAACATATGGTATATAATGTGATAAACGATAAGCAGAACTAGGTACAGCAGTGAATCTTCTCAATGAAAGTTAAGACACTTGTGCAACATCTGGTTATCTTTATTGTAGACGTTTCGCCATCCAGTGGGTTTATCAATACAAATTCTTGGACATAATAAGAAATACGAAGAACTATATACAAAAGATGAGGTAATCAGTCCCTCAGCCTTGGAGGTGGTGTTTAGAGCACCGTGGTTGTAGAGATTCTGAAGCACAGGCAAGGAGACTGGCGCTTATATAGGCGTCAGTGAAAGGGACGTGTAGCAGATGAGGACATAGTCACTGGTAGGCGGGATTCCCCAGTGGAAGTAGGTCCTTCCCAAATGACTTTCTTCACTTCTACAACTAGCCCATCAATTTGGGAAGGACCTACTTCCACTGGGGAATCCCGCCTACCAGTGACTATGACCTCGTGTGCTACACGTCCCTTTCACTGACGCCTATATAAGCGCCAGTCTCCTTGCCTGTGCTTCAGAATCTCTACAACCACGGTGCTCTAAACACCACCTCCAAGGCTGAGGGACTGATTACCTCATCTTTTGTATATAGTTCTTCGTATTTCTTATTATGTCCAAGAATTTGTATTGATAAACCCACTGGATGGCGAAACGTCTACAATAAAGATAACCAGATGTTGCACAAGTGTCTTAACTTTTATCTTGTCGGTATTGTATACCAGTCTTGCACAATCTTCTCAATGTCAAATTGTATTCACCAAGACTGCCATACCTGCAGACCGGAGCAAACTTCAACCTGTCTCCTGATGCGTTCCATTACATCGTGCACTACTTCTCGCCCGACAATATAACGCCCTCTTGCAAAATTGTTGGCAGCATCCTCCTTGTGCGAGATAAGATCCGCTGGATGGAATAGTTCCCGGTGTGTCCCTCGTCGTATCTCATCTTCCACGATGAAGAACACAACAATAAATCGCTTATAATGCATAAATTTACAATAATTCACGCACGTAAGACAAGAAACAGGCTTGTCGAAGTACTTATTGCTATCACTGTTAAAATGAATACTGCAGTAAAGCTACTCTTGTGTTAATGGAGCTTCATTAGGCGGAATTCTGCGAGCAAAAATATAATCTATAATAAAACTCGTTAACCCCAAAACGTTTAACCTTTAAGTAGGACTTATCATCCCAACAACCGCCTCCGGTTTCCGACCCAATGTACTCCTCACGACGAAGTTGAACATTTGTTCCATCACTATCAACCGCAGATACGCGGATCACCACGCACAACCCTTTACCCCCCGCACTCCTAGGCCGACCTCCCCTCTCCTCGCGAAACTTGAGTGTGTCTTCTTCATGTCAACCCCTCAGCAACCTTCCTCACCTCGACAATTTGTCCCCTCCCCACTTAAACGATTCTCGCATTATTCACAGGATCCCAGCTGCTCACTCCACCTTCTCCCCCAACATTCAACACTTATCCATGCCCCTATAGAGCTGGACATACTTGCTCCCAATCGCTTGCCTCAAGACAAAGTCTTTTCCCCAAGACTTCCTAACACCCACTCTTCCCTCATCTTCTGACCCCACTTTCATAGACCATCCTAATACTCCGTAAATAATAATAATGATATCTCCATACCCAATAACAATGAGGGTCCAGGTCAATACAAATGATCTGGTGTATCCATCTAGCCGTCATTTGTTTCAATTAATTTATGCTTCAGGAAACTCCTCACCTGTTGGGAAAAAATGTTGACTGTCAATTCTGCACTCCAGAGCAAGTAATCACAACCACGCTGAGAGCACTACGCCATTGGTTATCTTACTCCTCAATGCTATGCCCTTGTGGCTTAGCGCTTTTTGATTTTTTACTAACCATAATAAATAATTACACTCAATAGTAACATGAAACTATTAAGCATATTGGTAAAATACCTAAACTGATTGGCTTTGAGTGAATGGCAGCTTACTTTCTGCTATGTTCAATAAATGTATGTTTACCCTATCTTATCACCAATGTGTTCTACTTACCAGTCTTCCTTTCGGGTTGACACGGAAGAGGCAAAGAAGGTGGGTGTGGGTGAATCAGGTAAGAAAGGTCGGGGTAAAACAGTATAGAAGGATGAAAAGTTTAGCAGTCAGGAATAGATTTGATGTATACGGTAGACCAGTAAACGATGGAATTAAAGGCCTGTAGTAAGCTTCTGCGTTTGACATAGATTTTTAAAATAAAGCTACTTCTATCCCACAGTGCGAGTTCCTACACCCCTTACTTCTTTCAACCCTTGCTACCTTTAGTAACTTTCGGACATTATGGCTCTAATGACTTATTCTAGGTCTACCCCTTCTTTTTTGATACTCGAACAACTAAAAAACAAATCCCACTATTATAGTACTTGTACTACTATATACATTTTTAAAGGCAATAACCCCATTCTTTACTAAGCTCATGAAAGGAACTGCCAAAAATACGTTTGTAGTAAATATGCACAGATGTATTACATATTCCCATAATGAAGAATAAAATATGCACGTGGATAACATTAAAATCTCGAAATTTCCGTCATGGCCACAATACCTTCTAATCTCATGTTTATAATCTCCTTGCAATTTTTTTTACAAACCATGAAAGTTTAGCTCTAAGCCTGTAATGACTCCAAACTTGTCGATAGGCTTCACAAAATTTTAATCATCAACCAGTGACCTTGAACCCTTGAGTCATCATTGAGGACCAAGACATCATGTTACTTCACAAAGCAGAGTAAGGTACTCCCCCTTCAGGTAATGCTGTGTCCAGCAGAAAAGTTCCCAGCAACACTTCCACGCTGTCTACCACTGACAACATCTAACAACACCTGCCGTCCCAACACCCATAATACACATTAAATTCTTGGTCAGCTGCACACTAAACTCTGTAAAATATGTAGTTCAGAAATATTGACATAGGTTAGTGAGGTGACAAGGCTGCTGCTCTGGAAGCTGTTTGTTTGAGAGTGCATGAGGTACACTATTGTTAATCCTACTGTAAAAAACTCTTCACTGCTTTCAGTAACCTACTCCTACACCATACACTTGCAACATCTGCCACATTGCCCCCCTATCCACCCTGTCACTACGCCTTTTCCAAATCCATAAATGCCACAAAGACCTCTTTAGCCTTATCTAAATACTGTTCACTTATATGTTTCACTGTAAACACCTGGTCCACACACCCCCTACCTTTCCTAAAGCCTCCTTGTTCATCTGCTATCCTATTCTCCGTCTTACTCTTAATTCTTTCAATAATAACTCTACCTTTACACTTTACCAGGTATACTCAGCAGACTTATCCCCCTATAATTTTTGCACTCTCTTTTATCCCCTTTGCCTTTATACAAAGGAACTATGCATGCTCTCTGCCAATCCCTAGGTACCTTACCCTCTTCTATACATTTATTAAATAATTGCACCAACCACTCCAAAACTATATCCCCACCTGCTTTTAACATTTCTATCTTTATCCCATCAATCCCGGCTGCCTTACCCCCTTTCATTTTACCTACTGCCTCACGAACTTCCCCCACACTCACAACTGGCTCTTCCTCACTCCTACAAGATGTTATTCCTCCTTGCCCTATACACGAAATCACAGCTTCCCTATCTTCATCAACATTTAACAATTCCTCAAAATATTCCCTCCATCTTCCCAATACCTCTAACTCTCCATTTAATAACTCTCCTCTCCTATTTTTAACTGACAAATCCATTTGTTCTCTAGGCTTCTTAACTTGTTAATCTCACTCCAAAACTTTTTCTTATTTTCAACAAAATTTGTTGATAACATCTCACCCACTCTCTCATTTGCTCTCTTTTTACATTGCTTCACCACTCTCTTAACTCTCTCTTTTTCTCCATATACTCTTCCCTCCTTGCATCACTTCTACTTTGTAAAAACTTCTCATATGCTAACTTTTTCTCCCTTACTACTCTCTTTACATCATCATTCCACCAATCGCTCCTCTTCCCTCCCGCACCCACTTTCCTGTAACCACAAACTTCTGCTGAACACTCTAACACTACATTTTTAAACCTACCCCATACCTCTTCGACCCCATTACCTATGCTCTCATTAGCCCATCTATCCTCCAATAGCTGTTTATATCTTACCCTAACTGCCTCCTCTTTTAGTTTATAAACCTTCACCTCTCTCTTCCCTGATGCTTCTATTCTCCTTGTATCCCATCTACTTTTTACTCTCAGTGTAGCTACAACTAGAAAGTGATCTGATATATCTGTGGCCCCTCTATAAACATGTACATCCTGAAGTCTACTCAACAGTCTTTTATCTACCAATACATAATCCAACAAACTACTGTCATTCGCCCTACATCATATCTTGTATACTTATTTATCCTCTTTTTCTTAAAATATGTATTACCTATAACTAAACCCCCCTCTATACAAAGTTCAATCAAAGGGCTCCCATTATCATTTACACCTGGCACCCCAAACTTACCAACCACACCCTCTCTAAAAGTTTCTCCTACTTTAGCATTCAGGTCCCCTACCAAATTCTCTTCACTCGGTTCAAAGGTCCTATACATTCACTTAAATCTCCCAAATCTCTCTCTCTCCTCTGCATTCCTCTCTTCTCCAGGGCATACACGCTTATTTGACCCACTTCTCGCATCCAACCTTTACTTTAATCCACATAATTCTTGAATTTACACATTCATATTCTCTTTTCTCCTTCCATAACTGTCATTTAAAAATTACTGCTACCCCTTCCTTTGCTCTAACTCTCTCAGATACTCCAGATTTAATCCCATTTATTTCCCCCCACTGAAATCTCCTACCCCCTTCAGCTTTGTTTCGCTTAGGGCCAGGGACATCCAACTTCTTTTCATTCATAACATCAGCATCATCTTTTTTCTTGTCATCCGCACTACATCCACGCACATTTAAGCATCCAGTTTTATAAAGTTTTTCTTCTTCTCTTTTTAGTAAGTGTCTAAGGAAAAAGGGGTTACTGCCCATTGCTCCGGCATTTTAGTCGCCTCATACGACACGCATGGTTTTACGGAGGAAAGATTCTTTTCCATTTCCCCCATGGACAATAGAAGAAATAAAGAAGAACAAGAACTATTTAGAAAAAGGAGAAAAACCTAGATGTATGTATATATATATGCATGTGCGTGTCTGTGAAGTGTGACCAAAGTGTTAGTAGGAGTGCAAGATATCCCTGTTATCTAGCGTGTTTATGAGACAGAAAAAGAAACCAGAAATCCTACCATCATGCAAAACAGTTACAGGTTTCTGTTTCACAGTCATCTGGCAGGACGGTAGTACTTCCCTGGGTGGTTGCTGTCTACCAACCTACTACCTATGTAGTAGGTAGGTCCAAGAATTTGTATTGATAAAGCCACTGGATGGCGAAACGTCTACAATAAAGATAACCAGATGTTGCACAAGTGTCTTAACTTTCATCTTGTCGGTATTGTATACCAGTCTTGCACAATCTTCTCAATGTCAAATTATATTCACCAAGACTGCCATACCTGCAGACCGGAGCAAACTTCAACCTGTCTCCTGATGCGTTCCATTACATCGTGCACTACTTCTCGCCCGACAATATAACGCCCTCTTGCAAAATTGTTGGCAGCATCCTCCTTGTGCGAGATAAGATCCGCTGGATGGAATAGTTCCCGGTGTGTCCCTCGTCGTATCTCATCTTCCATGATGAAGAACACAACAATAAATACAATAATTCACGCATGTAAGACAAGAAACAGGTTTGTCGAAGTACTTATTGCTATCACTGTTAAAATGAATACTGCAGTAAAGCTACTCTTGTGTTAATGGAGCTTCATTAGGCGGAATTTCTGCAGCGAAATGATAATCTATAATAACACTTATCCCAAAAAGTTTAATTTATATAGTAAAACCTTGGTAATGGATAGAGGGACACTTGAGCAAACGCTAGGACATAGTTATTTAGAAAACATTTAGGTCTTGGGATCCTGATCACTTCTAACATGTTAAAATTGATCATGGTCCTGAGACCAAGACCAGTGACTGCCCCAAGTGGGGCTGAAGCTCCCCAAAATCTTCCAAAGGACCCTCACCCCCCCAAAAATAAAACTAATACTCGGTAATAATAATAATGATAGTCATTACCAATAACAGAGGGGTCCAGGTCAATAAAAATGGATCTGGGGACCATCTTGCCGTCATTTGTTTCAGAAAAGAAAGCGTCCAGGGAAGACTCCTCACGACTGTTGGGAAAAAATGTTGACTGTCAATATCTGGCACTCTGAGAGTAAATACACCACTTTGAGAGCATACGCCAAGAGGTATATCTTACACCTCACATATATAACATGAAACTATGAGAAGATATTGGTAAAACTACCTAAAATGATGGTGTTGAGGTGATGGCCTGTTTTTATTTAGCCTATGTTCAATAAATGTATGTATTACCCATATGCTTATCACCAATGTGGTTCTACTTATCCAAGTCTTCTTTCGGGTTGACAGGAAGAGGCAAAGAAGGTTGGAGTGGGCAGGAAGAGGTAAGAAAGGTTCGGGGTAGAACAGTAAGAGAAGGATGAAAAGTTATAGGCAGTCAGGAAGAGATATGAATGTTGTGGGTAGACAGGTAAAGAAGATTGGAATGAATAGGAAGAGAGGTAAGTAAGGCTTTGAGTTGACAAGAGAAGTTGTTTTAAGGGGATAGGTTTTTATCCCACAGTGACGAGTGTCCTAACCCCTTCACTCTTTCAAACCCTGACTAATAATTAGTAACTTGTCGTCGCCATGTAGGGCTGAATGACTTATTGGTAGGCGCTTTTTTGTGACTACTGTATAAATAAATAAACAAATCACCTATATATGAGTACTGTACATACTATATACATTTTTAAAGCAAAACCGCCATTCTGTAGCTAAGCTCATGAAAGGAACTGCAAAAATACGTTTGTAGTGAAATAATGCACAGGTATGTATACATATTTACCATATATTGAAGAATAAAAATATGCACGAGGATATACACACAGAAAGACTGATGTCTCTGAGTGTATGGCCACAGATACTTTTAATCTCTGTTTTAGTGATTGAAATGTTTTTTTTTTAACCAGTGAAAAGGTTACAAACAGCCTTAATGACCCTCAAGTTGTCGATAGGCTTCAAACTCAATTAATCAATCAACCAGTGACCTTGAAACCTGAGTCATCATGAGGACCAAGACGACATGTTACTCACAAAGCAGAGTAAGGTACTCCATCAGGGTAAATGCTGTGCTCCAGGCAGAAAAGTTCCCAGCACACACGACCAAGCTGCACACCAGCCTGACCAACATGCAGAGACAACACCTGCCGTCCAACACCCTGTAATAAATACACATTAACATTCTGGTCAGCTGCTACACTAAACTCTGTAAAATATGTGTTAGAAATAAGTGACATAGGTAGTGAGGATGACAAAGGCTGCTGCTCTGGAAGCTAGTTTGGTGAGAGTGCTTGAGGTAACACTAATGCTTGGGAAATGCCATAATACATCTTTGCAAGAGCTTGCCATAGTGACAGGAGTGTTTGTAATGTTCTGTGTATTTTCATGCCAATATAAAGCTGAAGTTTAATTTCTTTGATGTTGCTGTAGTAACAAGTAAGTGAAGATAGCTGTAAGAGTACTCTTTGAATAAGGAAGACACTGTTTGCAGTGAAACATAATTAAATACTACAAATATAACGTATTCACTCTCATCAGTGTTCTTCAAGTTTTTATGCAAGTTTATTTTGGTCCAAGTATCTTCATAACTAATATTTAATAATTTAAAATACTGTAAGTAGCTAGTGCAATTATTAACCTGTTGAACTTTTGCAAATAAATCATAATGCAAATTGTAAATACAGAATTAAAGTAACTACAGTACTTCAAGATGTATTATAGAGTACTGTACTACAGTAACAGCATAAATTAACATCTGAAAGATGAAATAAAAATGCAGCACATATTATTGAACATAGGCCGTTTCCCACCAAGACAAAGGTAAGCAATACAAAAAACCTTTCACCACCCTATATTCCACAGGTACCTTTCCAGAAGCACAATGACATCACAGTCAAATGACCCACCAAATCTTTACATTACCACGCATCTTTTAACATGAAGGCACTTCAAAAAACATTAGTCTAGCTAATAGGTTTCCCTGTCAAGTCTCAAAAGCCACACGCCTTTCTTCACTCCAATACTGCACACTCACTTGCTGGATGCTGGCCTCTAGCTCTTGTAACTCTCATTAGTTCATTCATACAGCCTTTGGAGTTCCTCATACCTCTTTATCAGTCTATTTTTCAACATTTTTTTTTTCAAATGACCAAGCTCTCTCAAAAATCCCTCTTCCTCTCCCTGAATTATGTCTTCTAATTTCGTCACTCCTAATTTTCTGCTTAATATTTACACCATACTGATCTCAAACATATACCTGAATAAACTTATTATCACTACCTCAAGCCTCCTCCTCCTCCTTGCTGCAACATTCATGGACAATGCTGCCTCACACTTACACAAAAATGTTATCACTACACCTGATAATTTCCCCTTCGCATCCATTGACAAACTTAATTCTTTCATCAGACTCCTCAATACTATTGCCACATTCTTTCTTCTATAAGTCACTTCATCTTTGATAGGCCTACTTATTGACACATCTCCAGAATACTGAATTATATGCTCACTTCCTCCCTATGCCTACTGTGCAAATTTACTCCAAATAAACGTTTCATAGTGTAGAAACTTTACAAGCTCTTAACAAGTCCACCTGTATATAATATTAATATTTATCTTCCTAGGAAGATTACATAACCATAATCGTGTCGTTACGATTTCGTGAGTCAAGATTACTTAGTTACACAAAGTAGTAAATAACCGTAAGAATTGTTAATACAGTTTTAGGACCTAAAATAGGATTAGATCTAACATAGTAGTATTAGTTAGCTAGCGTTTCAAATACGAACTAAATCAGTTAGAAGACATTAGTTAATTACAGATCACGAGACACGAGTGTTAGAGGCCGGACATGTCACTCGAATAGGCAGGAAACCGGCATAATTTACATGGATAGAGGAACCACTAGAACAACGAAGCTTCCTCAAACACCAAGGATACCTACTAGTATCCTGACAAGCCCCAGCAAACTGGATTTACGTTTGTCAGCATCATTGGCCAATCTTTCTGCTGAAACGTGGGTTGAGAACGTTTGCGGCGAGATTTTGGTGGATGTACAACACCGAAATCTGTCATTACTGGGAGTATGGAAGTGTAGGCCTCCCTCAGTCAAGTGACCTGACTTGCCTTGTACTGTTAGGTATTACATAACATGGCAATCTTGGGAGTTTTCATGCACAAGCCACTGGCTGCCTGAGTTAATATCTCTGGATGTCTGTGTCAACAGTTTTAGCTAAATTAGTTGTACGTTAGGAGGCAGTTCGCACAAAAAGCCACACCTTCCTTCCAACTAACAATGCAATCTTTCATTGCCTATTGTGTGTGTGTGTTATGTAAGATTGTAAAATAAGAATTATTTATTAAATAAAAATTAACTGTTGAGGAGCAGCATCGAAGGCTCGTCAAGTTATTTGAGGTCAGAGGGTAAAGAGGTCTGGACAAGAGGTCTAAACAAATAAATAGTCAGTGAAATATGTATGTTTGACTATGGACTGAGTCCAAAATATCGTCCTTATTAAATGCAGAAAGGTTCGCCAAGAAGCTAAAATCATGCTCAAGCAAGATGCAGTTGCACATTGCAGGCTATGAATAAAAGATGTGGGGGAAATACCATTTTGCCTTGATCATTGATTAAACTTCTGAACTATTTTCTCTTCAAGAGTGAGGGGGGTGGTGCGGTGCGTTATGTTGAATAGTTCTTGATTCAAGGAACTGGAGTTATCTTCTCTTTACTCGGATCAGACATGACTAAATCAAGTTCCCCAGGCTCTGTATGGCCGGTACGAGCAGTGTTCCTTATAAAGGTAATGATGTTGTGAACTACATTCTAATTTTCAATGTAGTACAAATTTTCTGCTGTATATCTAATTTGTACGAGTCAATGAGTCCCCACAGATTGCATCACAGGTGCTGTTATATTTGTATGATTCACCTGAACCTCAGCAATTACTATTGCACAAGAATGGTATACAATACCGTCAAGATGAAGATTTAGACACATATGCAACATCTGGATAACTTTATTGTAGACGTTTCGCCATCCAGTGGCTTTATCAGTACAGATTCTAGGACATAATAAGTTGGTGTGCTCTTCACATCAACTCCAAGGCTGAGGCACTGATTACCTCATCTTTTGTACGTATATAGTTCTGTCCTAGAATCTGTATTGATAAAGCCACTGGATGGCGAAACGTCTACAATAAAGTTATCCAGATGTTGCATATGTGTCTAAATCTTCATCAATTACCATTGCCTGCACATAACTCATCTTTGCTTCCCGGAATGTGATGACATGAACATGTGATGTAGTGGGACTTTAAGATTCAATTTACACATCACTATATCTAGATAAAGGTAATCAAATGTACTGTGAAGAGATAATAGCCCTTATCACATTCCCCTTCCTGTTCGTTCATAAATATGGTCAATTATGAAGAGTTACTCAGAAAACTTGCTGTGTTTAAAAATTTTGGAAGTCTAAAAGCAGTGGATAATTTGGATAACATTGGCTAGGCTTTCATAATAGAGACAGCAGACATTATAGTAGGAGTAACAAGTCATGTGATATAGAAATATTCCAACAAAAAACTGTATCCCTTAGTTAAGAAACAACTGATAGAGAATAAGACTTTCATGTTATTATCTAAAATATAATTAATTTAATAGCTATTGCTCAAGTTTTAGTATAACCTGCAGTTTGGAAAGTACAGTTAGATAGCAAGTCTCGCTGTATAGCCCTTGTGGCTTAGCGCTTCTTTTTTATAATAATAATAATAATCGCGTTACGAGAACGGAGGATTGAGCCTTCACCAACCTTACTATGAATAAACCACAGGTTTAGGGCTTACCAGAGTAATCTAATACAGTACACTATAACACGAATCTCACACACGAATCTGTTAACATTAGTCAGAATTAGTTTTTAATATAATTTTACTTAAGGAACTTTTGTTTCAGTGTTGTCATTGTACTTCAGTAGTTTGTTTTGTTCAGTGTTGTATAGGGTACGTCAGTAACTCTTGAGAGGAACCAAACACTTTATTTGCCATTAAAATGGTACGAGGCTGCAACCTCTGTACCACTCAGCGTAAAGGTCTGCAGCGAGAATCAATACCTAGTTCATTGATTGTTGACCCTCCTTGGTTACCATTAATCAACACAGCATTTACAGAGTATCAATTGCAATTCAGGTGTAAACTAATGAGTGATTCCACATTCCTACATTACTGCAAAATATGGTATCTAGATCTACAATGAGGCCTATTACAATCAATTTCCTAAGCATGATATATGTTCTCACTTTATCTTTTTGCCAAATGGTTCAGTGGTGGCCTGCCTCCTCACACTTATTGGTGGATAACTGAGTCCAAAACAGTTCCTCCTTAATATAAATTTGTATAGATTACTGTAAAGCAGTGTTTTGTATTGGTATATTTTGATCTGGTGCTAGTTCATGCTATGTCAGTTCTGTGATTTTTGAGAAAAATGCAAGACAGTATTGCACTGTTAAATGGTGAATCATAGTTGTTGCAATTTCTTAAGTGCTGTTATGATCAGTAATAATGACTAAAACTTATTTAGCTCATGCTCTCTACATTTTAATCCGTTGCTAATTATATCACCAGGCAGATAGGTAATTAATCAAATGCACTTGCTAATATATTACTATTTTATTTAAATTACCTTTGGTGTCAATAACAACAATGAACAAGTTCTTTGCCTGGTGACACTGCAGCTCTGCATGATACTGCAACAGACATCTGTGAATGACATGTGTCATCAATAACTTTAAACTTTGGTCATCCGCATGCACAGGCTGACTTGGATTAATTTACTATCTCAAACATTGCTCTTCAAATTTATATTAAAAATATTAACATTAATACAGGAGTTAGTTTGTTAGGCAAAGGTTTATGGATTGCAGGAGGTCATTAAGACCATGAGCCACATAGTCATTAACATCAAAGATACCGTAATCATTAAGATAGGGATTAAAGTTAACTGGATGTACAATATATACAGTAGGTCGTGTTCAATAAGCCAAGTCAAAAAGCTGAACTGCCTTCAAAAATTATTTTTTATTTTTTTTTCTTGTGCAGTGATCTCAGATTTGAATGAATTAACAAGCTACAGTATGCAAATGCACAAAATTTAGTTTAGTAACCTAACTAAACTTGGTAAAATCATGAAAATGCAGTTTACTATAACTTAAGTTTACCTAACCTGTCTAAAGTTACCATAGATTTAGATAATGTTATTTAACGTCAGTTAGATACATTTATTTTATGGTGACTGATTTTTGTGGAGCAACAGCAGCAATGAATTGTCTTTGCTGAGTAAGTTAGGCTTACAAGTTTGGATTAAGATGTACAATATATACATATACACACCTCACTGTTTTATATATACCCTTTGGATATTAAAATACAGTACAAATGTGGTGTGCATCTTATGTATTTTGAGCTTCAACATTAGTATTATTATTACTACTGAACATAAATTATAAATCTGCGTGAAAATTTAATATTACTAAAGCTAAACTGGGTGCCTCTAGGATTCAGAATGTGTTCTGAGATGTTAGTAATATTTTAAAGGGAAAGCTATGAGAGTATTTGCAATTCTCTATAAGGAAGATGTGTATCAGAAATGGTATACTATACCGGAAAGTTTGTAAATAAGACACAGGAGAAACAGCCTCATTAAAATTTTCTGACGTTGAACTTGTCTTCTATGTGTGACACATGAGTTCCATTCAAGGTGGGTGCCGTAGTAATGGTAATTACGTTTGATCCTTGAATCAAACCTAATTACCCTTATGAGTTTAGCGTTTTCCTTGAATATAATAAGAGTTAGTTATAGTGTTTTGAGTGTTTAAATTTATGTAGAAAAATCAAGCTAAAACTGATACTGTGATGACTAACATATTAAGTGGGTACAGCTACTGTATTAAACACTAACTGTTTTAAACGCCAATAATATAAGTGAATAAACGGTAACAGTAAACACATTTAACATAGATCACTTCTCTAGCAGCTACCTCATACTACTATTAAGAGCATACTGATGACCTACATGTCTAACTAACATTACTTCGTATGGACACGCAGAACCCAATGTGCATGCTGAGTAGGGTCAGAGGCTCAGGTCCGCACCGTATCAGCATCAGCAGTGGAGGTTTTAAGATGATCCCTGGTAGCCCCAGATGGTGGAGATGATGAATCAGGCAGCATCCCAGGCTCTAAGATATCACCGATGTCATCATTCTTGTACTTAGCACCACTGGCACCATCCTTGTATTTTGCAATCAACTCTGCATGTGACGTTTTTACTCCCTTAGACTTTATCCTTCGTGATGTGTCCAAGAGATTTAAATTCTCTTTAATGTAGATTTTGAGGTCCTGCAGTATCCTAGAACGTCTGAGGACAGCGTCTCGATCCTTGTAGTTGCAGAATGTGACAAGGACCGGGCGAGGTCTGTGGTCGCCTTGCTGGCCTACTCGATGCACTTGTTGTAATGCTACTTCTGACATCTTCAGCCTCTCTTGCAAGAGGCTACACACCTTACTCGTCAGCTCATCCAGTGTCTCCTGTTCCGGTTCGCCCAGTCCCTCAATGCAAAGGCTGCCACTGAGTGTGTGGTGGGTCACATGGTTGAGTGTAGTGACCTCCATGTCTACAGCATGTTTTGAAGAGCTAATCCTGTCTTGCCACTTCATTGTATGTGGTTTATCCTCAACTTGACTATTCACAAGTTGTTTCACCTCTGACTTCAATTCCGCAACATCAGCTTGAATATATTCGAGGCTTTTTGCCAGTTCCAGTATTTGCACCTGGGAGGCATCAATTTTATTTGTAAGCTGATTAACGAACAGTTCCAGCGCATTTTTATAAGCTTCGTGCTGAGTGTCAATTAAAAGTTTTATTGCCGCACAGTCCATTGTTCACGGCGGGTGTCACTCCAAGATTATCCACGTATGAGGCTTTCTTAAAAAATGTAAAAATATTATTCAATTAGTTATATACCACGAACGGTAGATCAGCTCGAGCTAATTCACAACAATCTCCAAAAAGTAATTTATGTTATCACAAAACTTGTGTTACATAGCGTCACTGTGGCAATAGATACAGCAAAATAAATAGCTATGTTGAAGGAGTCACCTCCTGCTGAACTTCCCACAATGTCAATACACGAGCACGTTGTAAACAGCGCGTTCATACCTCGAATCAAATTTCAGAGTTGTTTTTACCTCGTCCTAAAACCCGCATCTCTTTTATCAAAAACCATGTGAAAGATAGAAAGCGCCATCAGAGGGGAATTCAGAAACTATTTTTGGTTAATCACGAGGTAGCCAAACAAGCGTAAATGGATAGAATAATAGAAGAATTCTACCAGGGTGACAGGTAGCCTGAATATCGGTTCCAGGTTTGAACGCGCTGTCCCAAGCTGCAGTACCTAGCCACACCTCACCCTTACACCTAGGACTCATACGGCACATGTCGTTGCCCTTAAGAAGAGACACATAAGAACACCCCTACACCTGGTCACCTAGCAGCATGTTGGTACCTGATCCTCTTCACTAGCGGTAAATAGGTACTTGGCACCTGCTGATCGTATTCATCTAACATTAAACGGACATTTGACCCCTGAAGTATTCACCTAGCAATACATAGGTGGCTGTCACCTGTTGCCCCTATTCACCCAGCAGTAAATAGGCACTTGACACCTCTCCTGTTCGCCTAGTAGGAAACAGACACCAGTTGTCTCTCCATCTAGCAGTAAACAGATGCCTGACACCTGTTCACTTTGTAGGAAATGGGTACTTGTTGCCTGTTCACCTATCATTACTAGGTACTTGTTGCCTCTTCACTTAGTAAATAGACCCTTGCTTCCCCAGTTTACCTAGCAGAAAATAGGTACCTGCTGCCCCTATTCACTAGCGATAAAGTTACCTCTTTCTCTTGACATAATAATAGGTACTGACACCAGCAGCCGATGATCATCTTTCCACAATTAACTGAATCTGCCACTTTTCGGACTACGACATAACCTTCCAAATCTTTCTCACGTTCATGGTAAACCTCCTCCGAATCCATTATTTGGCTATTTTTTTTGTGGCAGACATGACCGTCCCCTTGTGACTTCGTATTGAGATTCATTAGATGGTGCTTTACAAGGTGGCTTATTGGTTATTATTGATTAAAATAATCTGCTTACTACTGTTGTCAGGCTTATTGGGCAGTAATTCGATGGTATTGACTTATATCTTGATTGAGAAGAATTGTATTAATCTTCGACATCTCGTCACAACACTTGTTCACAGTACTTGATAGGCTAGTTAGCGGCTCACTACCTTCCATCTTACACTCTAAACCTTGCTTTAATCGATCTGTTTGATAACCATGTCCATAGAAGCTGTGATATTATTAATTGCTGCGATATCATTAGTATCTTTTGTATGAAGACCGACGGGATATAATTGTTAAAAAGTATATTTCCTGGTCATTGTAATCAGTCTAGATCTAGTTTCAAATGGGCCCATCCCCCCCCCCCCCCACAGCCTTTGTCCTGCACATTTGAAAGAGTGATTTTGCATGTCTTGGATACCCTTGCCACTTTATTTTCCAAGTTTCGCTGAGGTTTTCTTATCTTTTTTTTTATTTTTTTTAATAAAAACTTATTGATCCGCAAGGTGACCCTTTCCTCCTTTTGATGAGATAGTAAATTCTTCTCTTCTCTCCCAAGAAATGTTTTAATCTGTTTCTTCATTTTAGTTGACTTAATTTTTCTGTGTTCTTTGGGCAACTGTGTACATTACTTAGAAAAATATAATATTGCGAGTTTTCGTTACTGTTAAGTTTCGTCGATAGAATCACTAGCTAAGTCCATTATAATCTTCACAGCAATTGTTTAATTAGTTCCTATGTATTCTTTGAGAAACCTTGAAATCAGTTCAAAGGAATCTGTGGACTTGCTCGTGTTTAAATGTCAACTTATATGAGAAGCTTGCAAGCTGGACTATGATCCTGCATAAATTGTTTCCACTCGGCTTGTATAATGTTATTTAACGTGCTGGTAACTTACACACTCCTTGCTTCACTCATATATTATTACTGTCACAATTACAAATTTTGATGCCCCTTGTCTCCCGACCTTCAGTAGTGTGGGTGTCCTCTCCACAGTTAACCCACAAATTGAAAATAAAAATTGGACGACGTTTCTACCTGTCAAGAAAGAAGCGAGTCAGCGTTCACTTCATATCTGTGGATAGTTGTAAACTGTTCAAGTCACGGTATGCAGTTTTTTTTATGCATCTTGTCTTATGAGTGTAAGTGTCCTTGGGTGATGGCAGTGACTTTATTTTGACCACAAGTTGAATTATGTCTCCGTTCTTATTCCCTGAGCCTATTGTCATGAAATAACACTACGTCCCACAAGATATTACATTAAGAATATAACCTTTTTGCTAAAAGTGGCCCACCATCCACTCCTCGTGTTACTATACTATTATACGATACCAGACCAACACCATACACTTGTCCTCCCTCACGGTCAAGCTAAATAATTGTTTGTGATTCATCTGTAACTCCTTGGATTCTGTCGTATGGTTGAATAGGGTTCGCATATCATAAGTAGGCCTACTATAGTATGATTCACCTCGATAACCTTCTCTAAGGTGCATTCATCTTCTTCACTGCCTTCACTGAAATTTTCTATTGTAAATGTCTGGATAATTCTAGCATTGTTTGAAACTGTGTAGTTTTGCCTTGGTCTTACTCTGTGTCATTATTTATCATATTGATATATTTTAGTATATTCTATGTTGTTATGTCTGCTCAGAGCCTTTGTTTATCCAAAACCATCATCATATTTATCGTCTAGTGCAAAAGTATAAAACTTTTCGAGTTTGTTTTTAAATGTATGCAATGTGTATGTAATCCTGCGAATCAGTAAGTAACTGGTATTCCAACCGGGAAGGGGATGAAATTAGTCCTGTAGCTTCCCATAGCCACGTATGTCCGCATCAGAAGTGACATGTCCAGTGATACTGGGCACCTGATATTTGTAACATTGATGGCTAAGTGGTCTAGGGCGTCTCGGAATTTTGGTGGGCTACTAGGGTGGCGTGTTAAGGTATCCAGTGTTCGATCTCCGGCCATTACAGTTTGTTATTTGCTTAAAACCACTAATTATTCATGAATATTCGAGGCGATATCTTATTTTTACAGAGAATTTTATTAACGGAAACAAGAAGAAAATCGAAAACAGACATTAACCAGACGAGGCTACAGTGCCTCTTCTCATGTTTTACAAACATATTTATTTTCTAAGTCACTCCTTTATAATATTATTATGTGTTAATTTCTACTTTTCATGCTAAGTTTGGTATATCAAACTGCCTTCGTGTCACTTGAACTGACACGTGTTCACGGTAACTATAACTGTACAATGTTCTACTTGTGTTCTTGTCACCCCGTACCCACACGTGTTCACGCTAGCAACTACTTGTGTTCTTGACCGACACGTGTTCACACTAACAACTACTTGTGTTCTTGACCGACACACGTGTTCAAGCTAGCAACTACTTGTGTTCTTGTCACCCCGCACCGACACACGTGTTCACGCTAGCAACTACTGTTGTTATCACCCCGCACCGACACACGTGTTCACGCTAGCAACTACTGTTGTTATCACCCCGCACCGACACACGTGTTCACGCTGGCAACAACTGAACAAAGACTGAGGTGCTGAGTGCGGCTGCCGCAGCACACTGAGTGGGGCCTCGTCTTGCCCCGCGGTCATATGTGGCAATGTTGCATGTCTCCGTCCCCAGACTTATTTCTTGCCCACGAACCTGGGATAAGGACAGGTGCTATCTAACCTTTGGAACGTGGATGATCCTACCTTTGGGATGTGGATGATTCTTTCCTAACCTAAACAAGCAGACAGTCCTATCCTACCATTGTAAAATGAGAGTCCTATCCTTGAAATGGTTCTATTCTACCCTAGCGAAGTAAAAGGTCCTTCCTTTCCTGCCATTGGGTGATGAACGGCCCTATCCTAATTATCCTACCCATGGACGGTCTTGTCCTACGACTGAAAGGTGGATAGTTCCTGTTTTACCTTTAAAATGAAGCCACGAGGATGCCTAGGGAGTACACACTTCTTTTAAAACTTAACATACAAATTTTCACATTTTTATTTATTATGCCATTAGATTTTGTTCACTTACCGCTCTTCTTGTTGATGATAGCCTCACCATCGTCACTTAACCACCTCTGTCACTTAAAACTCGATATTTTGTTCACTTACCGCTCTTCTTGTTGATGATAGCCTCACCATCGTCACTTAACCACCTCTGTCACTTAAAACTCGATATTTTGAGGGTTTGTACGTTTTATAATTATTAATATTGTTGTGGCGAAGGGACGCCTTTCATTAATTTCTGGCTCTCATGAGTTTAATGTGCAGTTATCCTCAACATTTTAAATGTCACTCAAATGTTGAATGTTCATAGATGTTTTCTGAATGTTTTGTCATTTGTTTTTCAGCACTAGTTTTGATAACTATTAAATAATGTAGAGGACGAGGAGTACCGCGGGGAAGAGATCTCGTGAGTTCCTTCAGTAGGTGAGAACCCTTATTATGCACCTTCAGTGGCCTCCTTCAGCAGGTGAGCACCCTCAGTATGCACCTTCAGTGGGCTCCTTCAGCAGGTGAGCACCCTCAGTATGCACCTTCAGTGGGCTCCTTCAGCAGGTGAGCACCCTCAGTATGCACGTTCAGTGGCTCCTTCAGCAGGTGAGCACCCTCAGTATGCACGTTCAGTGGCTCCTTCAGCAGGTGAGCACCCTCAGTATGCACCTTCAGTGGGCTCCTTCAGCAGGTGAGCACCCTCAGTATGCACGTTCAGTGGGCTCCTTCAGCAGGTGAGCACCCTCAGTATGCACGTTCAGTGGGCTCCTTCAGCAGGTGAGCACCCTCAGTATGCACCTTCAGTGGGCTCCTTCAGCAGGTGAGCACCCTCAGTATGCACGTTCAGTGGGCTGCTTCAACAAGGGCGCAACTTCAGCAGGTGAGGAGCAGCCGGGGAGTGCAGGAAGTTCTGATCCTTCCAGCTGATTATCTTGTGTCTGAACCTGCCGCCTGTCTGTCCGCCTTGCAAAACCCCACCCACCCCACCCACCAACCTCACCCACCCACCCACAGCCCACCACTCCCATCCCACTATCCCCCCATCAGCAGTCCCACCAACACTACAATCTACTGCTTTAGTTTAATATGTTTATTATGCACCACATACCCATCCTGTGGGTGGTAGTCAAAACATTACAGAGGTACATAATGGTCCAGGGACTGGACCCCAAAGTTATGATGGTTGAGCAAGTTACAAAGGTAATGAACTCCAGGTAGATCTGGTCGCAATTATGTTTCCACCCACTCCACACCATTAACACCTCCGACCCCCTCCTCACCCATTTTACATCGTTTAGCAGGACCGGATTTATACAGGTATGTATCCGCAAGGCAGTAAGAGAACCCCACCCCATCTATTTCTAAGTTTTAATATCATATGAGAAAATCTAACATCAAACTAGGCCAAATTTGCGTCATAGTTCTATATTATACCACTGGCGTTCCTTCTTTTCAATACTTTAATGCTAATTAAGTATAGAATAATGATAATAATGTATAAATTCATTAATATATTTAGTTAGTACCGTATACATGTTAATTACCACTTTCATAGCCTAATATATATATATATATATATATATATATATAAAATATATATAAAATATATATATATATATATATTAATTTTTGTCGTGCCGAATAGGCAGAACTTGCCATCTTGGCTTAAATAGCAACGTTCTTTCTTGCCATGTAGGACAAGTGAAAATTTGTGTATGCAATAATGTCGCCAAAATCATTCTGAACCTAACGAAAAAAATAATTTTATTGTGTTTGTTTAGTATTTTAAAATTATTGAAAATAAATCTAAAAATATATGTAGTTCGGTTAGGCTAAAATAAATTGTTGTTGTTATAATAAGGTTAGGTAAGTTTTCTAAGATTCTTTTGGTGCAAAATTAAATTTTTTTACATTAACATTAATGAAAAAAATATATCTTGAAACGTATAAGAGAAAATTTCAGAAAAGACTTAATTTTAAATGAGTTCTTGCAAAATTGACCAGTTTTACATATTCGGCATGATATATATATATATATATATAAAATAAAATATATATATATTTTATATATATATATATATATTATATATATATATATATATATATATATATATATTCTTTCAACACACCGGCCGTATCCCACCGGGGCGGGGTGGACCACCGAGGCAGGGTGGACCACCGAGGCGGGGGGGGACCACCGGGCGGGGTGGACCACCGAGCGGGTGGACACCGAGGCGGGGTGGACCACCGAGGCAGGGGGGAAACCACCGAGGGGGGGTGGCCCACCGAGGCAAGGGTGCCCACCGAGGCAGGGTGGACCACCGGGCGGGGTGGACCCCCGAGGTGGGGTGGCCCACCGAGCAGGGTGGCCCAAAAGGGAAAACTAAAGTTTTCATTTTACATTTAGTAATATAACAGGAGAAGGGTTACTAGCACCTTGCTCCCGGCTTTTTAGTCGCCTCTTACAACACGCATGGCTTACGGAGAAGAATTCTTTTCCCCACTTCCCCTTTGAGGTAAGAGGAAATAAACAAGAACAAAACTAGTAAGAAAATAGAAGAAAACCCGAGGGGTGTGTATATATGTGCTTGTACATGTATGTTAGTGTGACCTAAGTGTAAGTAGGGAGTAGCAAGATTACCTGAAACCTTGCATGTTGTGGCATGCAAAGAGTACGGTAACCCTTTATTCGCCATGGACTCCCCCCAATTACAGCTATCCCCCCAACCAGCGAACCAGTTGCTAAGATTGTGATGGGCCCCATTTGTTCAACTAGTGACCCAGTTCTACCATAAGAAGGTGGATTGCAATCGCAGAGTTATGTGGATACCGCTCTCCTGTCTGCCCTTGTCATTCCCATTCTAGAGCTGTGAGCCGGTCTGCTATCTTGTGGTCTATTTCTGCCTTCTTAACCGTGGACGTGCCAATATACTTATTTACTGTACATAGTTTACATATGCTGTCTAAATTGGTGAAGGATAATATAAGTCTAAAACTTTTTCTGTCGTGTTTCTTTTGCTTCCCATTTCACCTGGGATAACAAGGCCTTTGAGTCCTAGGTTGTATACATGTTTTTGAGACAGTCCAAAAGACACCAGCAATCCACCATCATGTAAAACAATTACAGGCTTTCGTTTACACTCACATTGGCAGGACGGTAGTACCTCCCTGGGCGGTTGCTGTCTACCAACCTACTACCTAGAAATATATATATATATATATAAATATATATATTATATTATATATATATATATATATATATATATATATATATATATAATATAAGGAGAGAGAGGCTTAGATATCAGGCGCGACTCTGGACCTAGAGTCAAGAATGATCTTTCTCCAGTACTAGGTTTGACAATAGAGTTGTAGGTGAGCGGCACAAACTCCCAGGCAGTGTCAGTGAGACGAGAACTTTTGGGTAGCTTTCAGTGTAGGTTAGACGAGTGAGTTGAACCTGCCTAGCATGAGTCATTAGGTTTAAAAGGACACATTTACAACTAATGTGACATTTTATTGTGGCAACGTTTCGCTCTCCAGTAGGCCAACTGCAGTGTCCTTTCGTTCTTGTGTTTTTCTTGACATACTGGCGATAGGCTGGACCAGTTTTTTCTGCACTGATTGGGGAAAATTATAGGCCTAGAGGGGGTTAAATAATTTTGTCATTACTGGGCCATCTAAGGGAAAATTTCACATTCTAACAATCTGCACTCATTCCATCTCTTTTATTTTATATACATTAGCTAAGGTTTGTTTCTGCCTTTATGTACAACCTGAGAGCTGTCATATACCTCAGCGTGGTTAAAAAAAGATTTAAAATTATCATCATTATTAAGTTTATGTAGCAACTAGTGAATCAATCTCTCTCTCTCTCTCTCTCTCTCTCTCTCTCTCTCTCTCTCTCTCTCTCTCTCTCTCTCTCTCTCTCTCTCTCTCTCTCTCTCTCTCTCTCTCTCGTCCCAGAACTGCAACATTCTCAGTAACATATCCTAGTGTTAAAAATAATTGGATAGCTTTACTGAACTATCCATCTATCCTTCTATCCATCTATGTGTCTACACGTGTCTGTGTCATACAGGGTGGAGTGGTACGGTCTTCCTGTTGCTTGTTAATGTTACATTTGTTATGTCCGTTAACAGTTATTTCCGGTAGGGTCCTTCCCCAGGATGCGACCCACAACAGTTATGTAGCTCCCAGGTCCCTTTTTACGGCTAGATGGACTGGGGGAGCGGTAAACTCTTAGGGGGTCACACCACGCCTGAGGTAGGAGGCAATGAGCCTCCTTTCAGGGAAGGGGTTCAAATTCCTTGGATCAAGAGACCTTTGAGTAACTTTCTGCTGGAGAGATAGGGAGTAATATGAAAGCTAAATAGAGAGTAATGAAGAAAGAAAATGCTAAAATGACCCCAGGCAAGCCACCATAACCAGGAAAACTACCATAACCT